TCATAAACCGTCTGGTCTTATTTTTGGGCGGGGTTTTCAACATCAGATCGGAACCTGTTTTTAGCAATTTGCTATTCTTGTTTTGTTTTGTTATATATATATATATATATATATATATATATATATGTGTGTGTGTGTGTGTGTTTTGAACAATAAAAAATATTAAAAAAATTAAAATCTTCAGACACACTGAGTTGTATATTAATATTCTTTCGTTTTTATTATTTCAGTTAGATTCCTTGACTAGTTTCGGCCAACATGGCCATCATCAGGAGAAAAAAAATTCTGCTTGTTAGTAGCAGTGAACTACAGAAAGGAATTGACTTGCTGGATAAAATGAACTTTTGTCTGTAGTTTTCATTTGTTTTTTTATTTTTTTAAGATGAATTTTGGTCAATACTTGTGTTGGTCAAATAGTCTCTTTTAAGTTGTTATTTGAGATAAGAGCTGGATGGATTCATGCTGCTCTGAATTCCCTTTGTCATTTTGACAGTTTTATCGGTTCCTGGAAAGGGGATGTGTCTCTGTTAAGTGTGTGTGTTATTTGGTTCTTAGGGAGTGGGTGAATATGATGCGTGTAAGTGTGTATATTAGTATGTGTGTGTGTATAAGTGTGAGGCCTCAACACCTCCGCAAGTATGTCTGTCTTGTGTGGGTGAAAAATGTGGGTATGTCCTGATTTGTGGGGTTATATATTAATTCTATGTTAAATTTGTGATTAAGCTCGTCTGGAAGGAGCGTTTTTAGGTGTCGAATCCACTTATCTTCATGGCCTTCTAAAATCTTTCTAATGTTATCTGCTCTGAATTTTTATATTCTCTCAATTATAGTGAATTTGGCATGGGTTTTAAAATCGTGTTTTTCTAGGCTGAAACGTTGTTCTACAGGTAATAATCTTTCATGCGGAGCCGACTTAATTCGTTTGTGATAATTATTAATTCTGTAGGGAAAGGGCCATTCAGATTTTCCTACATATTGTTTCTGGCATAGTGTACATTCTAAGAGGTAAATTATGTTATGACTTCTACAGTTAAAGTCGTGGTAGATTTTGAAAGTAGATTAGTGACTGAGCTAGTGAATGAATTCGTGTGTCTAATGTGGTTACAGCATAAGCTCCTTTTGTTGTTACATGGTTGGGAAAATCCTATTGTTTTTGTTTTTGGTTTATTAAGGATTACCTTATCCCCTATAATTTCCTTTAGGTTCTTAGGCCTACGATATGCTAGAAGGCCGGGTTCCTCAAATATTTTTTTAGGTTTGGTTTGAGATGTAGTATTTCCCAGCAACGTTTGATTATTTGGGATAGTGGAGGCAGCAGCGTGGGATTTAAAGTGGTTACTAGAGGGATGCTGCTAGATTTATTCATAATCTTGTACATTAGGGTATCTTCTCTAGGTGTAGAAATTGTTTTATTTATTTGTTCCCTGATTAGGTGTTGTTTATAACCACACACACACACACACACATATATATATAAGTTGGTCAATAAAACAAAGTCAAACGAAAGGGTTCCGATGAAATCAGTACGAAAAACATTTATTAATATTAACCAGGTGACAAAAAAATGAAGAACGGAGATTGAGGTTCCAAGTTCGGAATTTTAGAACACGCCTTTATTCTTCATTAGCGAATGCGAGAAATAAACAGAGTGAAGGTGGGAACTATATAAAAAATTATTTTTTTGAAGTGGGTAGAATCCGCTTGTAGATGGAATTATTAGAAAAAAATCCGTTCCCTGTTTTATTTCTGTCTGTGCTAAACTTAATGTGAAAATAACTTCAGATTTAAAAATTGTGATTGATGGTGGGTGGTAGGGAAGTGAGATGTTGAACATTAGGGAAAAAAAGAATTGTAGAGGTGGGGCTGTATTTGTGTTGAAAGATTTTGTTTTTGTGATTTAGGATCAGTGTGGGAACAACGAGATTGTCAATAAAAGTAAAATGAAATTAAAAAAAAGAGAGATGAAAGAAATAGCACAAAAACGGAATAAAGAATTCTTTTAGAAAAATCATTGTTAGATAATGAAGAGTGCGGAAAAAATAAAGTGAAAAAATAAAAAATAATACTAAAAATAAAGATAATAATAATATGAAAAGAGGAAGTGAAAAAAATACATATAAAAATAGATGTGTTGTGTATCGAGTTAGGATCAGAGTGTAAAAAGGCAATGGAAATAAAATAAAAGAGAAAAAAGAGGGAAGAAATACTACAAAAAAGGATTAAAGAATCCTTTTGGAAAATCATTGTCAGAAAATGGGTTTTACGGAAAAATAAAACTGAAATAAAAACGTAACAAAATGACAATATAAGAAAGTGGTACCCACCTCAAAAAACTAATGTTGGATATTTTCCACCGTCCCTCTGTTTATTTTTCCCATCCGCGTTTTCGAAAATTCCGAACTTAAAACCTTAACCTCCTTGCTTCATTTTTGTCACCTGGTAATATTAGTAAATATTTTTCGTACTGATTTCATCGGTACCCTTTCGTTTGACTTTGTTTTATTGACCAATTTATTTACTCTACTTCTACTATATATATATATATATATATATATATATATATATATATATATATATATAGATAGATAGATAGATCAACTGGTTTCTTTTATGACAACTCCCTAATTTTCTTAATTTTCCATAAAATTTTAATATTATCTTTTTTATTATTGATAATTTTTATATTAATTTTTACACAATTCCAACATTTTCTTTTTTTTTCATTTTCATAACGCAAACAAACTTGTTGTCTATCCATGCGCCAGTGCAAAACCCCCAAAGTTAAATATTTATAAAATAAAAATCTTAAAGGTTTAAATAACTTTTTTTTTCAATTGTGTGTAAAAATGTTGAAGAATTCAATCAGTGTATTTTTTTAAAAAAATGGTCTTTTTCGTTGAAAAAAAAATTGATTTTTAAGGCGTTTTAACAGAAGACGGAAAATATGACGATAAAACTCAAACAAAACTCATTGGAATAACAAAAAGATGTCTTCCAAAGATTAAACAAAGTATTAAGAAGAAGGATAATTTCCTGAGAAACAAAGAAAAGAGTGCTCAACTGCTACGTAATATCAGTGGCAGTGAATACTGGACAATTTCTTCACGGATGAAGTGGAAACTTGAAGCCACCGAGATGTAGTTACTATAAAAAATATATTAGTAAGTAATATAAAATAGTTAAAAATAATGATTAATAAAAAGTGTAGATAATTATAAATGAATATTATAATAATTTAGATTTGTCTGTTATACTTACTTTTGAGAGAAGTTTATTTAAAAGAAAGCCAGGAAGTTTGACGTAAAAGTTACTGAATCTAAAATTGGTGCCAAAGAACCGCCGAAAATATGCCGGAATGTTTCAAATTTGAAAAATATGTACTCTATTTTTATTGTCCAAGTCGAAAGGATGGCTTCCACCCATGTAAATTTAAAGTTAAGATCCACCTGAGGCCTCTTCTATTATATATAAAAAGACGTTCAGCGGATAATTTCAGAAGAAGCTAATTAAAATTTCGACCAGAAAGTGTAATAATTTTCGACCGGAAGGTAACAAAAACTTTGAAGAAATTGAAGAGGCATGAAAATTTCGTCCTGAAAGCAGAAAATGAGGTTCCAGAAGGAAAAAAAAAACTATTTTTGACTGTCACTTGTGGATGAGCTGAGCTGTTTTTGACAGAAAAAGCAAACAGAAAAAAAAGGAGTGAATCGAGTGAAACCTGTGAATAGAACAGTGTTCTAAAGAAAAAAAGAAAATTAAAAGTTCTAATGACGCAAATGGATTTTGCCAAAGTCCCTTTCTATTTTTTCGCCTTATGGATGCGTTGGGGAATGGTTCCATGAGTCACCGTTTGTTGAATAAAAAATGAGAGAAAGTGTTGCCGCGTGTTCAAATAAAATGACGATATTTATTTAACGTAAAATACACAAATTCTTACATTAACTACTATCACGGCTTGTTTTTTTTTATTTATTTATTTAGAAAGTGCTTCTAACTGAAAACGAAATTGACATAGTCTTTCAGTGAGGAAAAGAGAAAATGGGGTTGGGAGACAAGATCAAAGGGAGTCTGCTGTTGCTTTGGTGATAAAGACAGAGCGACGAGGTTGACTCGTGTCTCTTTACTGCTGTCAGTCTTTTCTGCTGAGTTGAATTGATGTCTGGTTTATATGGCTTCGTGTAAGCTCCAGAAGTTTATGTTCATTTATTGGTGGGAGCTGATTGGTTATTCTTTATTTTTATCAATTTGAAATAAGTTGGAAACTTTGCGTGGTTTGTTTACTTTTGTCATTTGATCTTTTGATTTGAAACAACTTCCGCTTACTCTGTTTTCAACCTTATCTCAAGGTTTTTCCATTATTTTAAGATTGTATTGTAAATCTTTTTAAGAACCTTTTTTTTTTTTTGCTGTTATCTGCCTTTACTAAAAAGGTACACGCAAACGAGCGTCTTTGTCAGAATTGTATTTTGTTATATAGTTTTAAATGAATTGTAATAAATGTTTGATCATTCAAAATTTCCTATAATAATTTTGAGTTTTGCTTGTTTTTGTGTGTGCCTTTTTTTTAATATATGGGATAAGAAAAGTGGTGTTCTCTCTTCTCCAGAGAAAAAAAAAATCTTTTTATGACAGAAGGATGCTGAGAATACTATGGATGTAAGTAACGAGAAGGTTTTAAGGAAAATGAAAAGGGATACTTATACTTAGAATCAGAAAGAGACGAGTGAAATTTCTAGTACGCGTAATGAGGAAAGAGGTCATGAAAAGCTTGGCACTCACAAGACATGGATGACAAAAGAGACAGAAGTAACCTATCTACATAAGAAGCTTTTTTTGTGTGTGTATGTGGCAGAACGGGGAATAAGAGAAGTAGTAAAAAGACAAAAATTGCTAAAAGCTACAAAAAGGATAGGAAGTTGTGGAGAGTCATTATCGCCCATGTCCTGAAGAAAAATCTAATTTTACGTCGGACTTGATAACGCTTCCATCAGCATACTTGTATGTCTATCACGTATGTTTTCATTTTTAATGACCTGTCCGCCCTCTTTTTCTCTTTTCACGGTCACATTATTTTCCCTCGCAATTTTTTTTGTTTTTTTGTTAATAACCTTCTGTCTTTACCCGTTTCGTCCTCTCTTTTTCCTTCCTTCCTTTATGTCTCAACTTTCTCTTTACATTTTCTTTCCTCGTCACTTTCTTGTTCTTAGTGATTTTTTTCTCTAGTTTCTTGTAAATTGTAACGTTTTCTTTTCCTTTGTTTATCTGGCTTGGCTTTTCCTCTATTCATACTTGTCACCTTGTGCATTTGTTTTTCTCTCTTTCTCTCACTAAAACGTTGATCCTCTTTTCTTTCACTGAATGAAGTGATCTCGTCATCCCTCCCACTAAGACGAGGATGATCGGCCTGTACATCAAATGCGACAAGAGACACAAACCCTCAGTACTCACCTGTTACTCATTTAATCCTGCCCGCAACCTTCTCTCCTCCTGAGTCATGTGCCCAGTCTAGTTTTTCTCTCCTACCCAGTAATTAGATTTTGTGCCTTTCTTACATACTAGACAACAACGTTGAACACTAAAAGTAAAAAAAACAATGCAAACTATTGGGTAAGTTAACCAATTACTAATTTAATGAGTAGTGACCAGCTACAACAAACTCCTGTCTCTTGGCTTTCCCTCGCTTTAATAACCATTTCTGTTTATTTTGCCATTTAACCAGCTACTAAAACACTATATCGGACTGTGTTCTTTTGATTGTCTGGGTTCAGCAACAATGTATTGGATATGAATATGATTAATGACAACAAAACCCGGGACTAAAATTATTAACAACAAATATTGGACATATTGTTTGTTTATATTTCTGAACACTTTTTAGTGCCTTAATGAAATTGAAATTTTTATCATCTTTATGATCAAATGTAGACAGACGTTATCACTAGCTTCTTATTTGTTTACCTTTTAATTTTTTTCTACTTCTCTCCCCAAAAAACAAATCTAAAAAAAATTGTCAACTACAAAATATCGTACAAACAAACCTTACGCTTGAGTCTTGACCATTGAATAATTTGTTATTCACGTGGGATTTTTCGTTTCTAAAAAATTAAAAAAAAAATGACTTGCTTTTTAAATTTATTATTTACCGGTTCTCACTGTCGTTGGTTGACCTACAAAAAATAATGCCTACAATGAGTACAATCTATAAACTAGAAAGTATATTTTTAATCAGTAGTACTGTCTGTCGTATTTTCTTTTTTTTAAATGGCATCCTGAAAGTGAAATATCTAAAAATCTCCTCATAATTTGTTTGTGGACAGTGACACTCGAAATCACTGTCACTTCGGCGAAAAACCAAATCCTTATTCTTTCTTTCGGAAAGAAACGGTTTTAACGATTGGAAATTATTATTCAGTGATTTTTTTTTTGTGGCTTATTGTCTTGCTGCAGATAATTGGTTGGTCTGAATCATTCGTATGACCACATATTTGTCTGTGGATAAACATGTCTTCTTTGTACACCAGTCCCAAATCTTCCCCAACACTGGATCCTTGGACACCTTTAACAAGCCCCGGGACTGGGAGAAAACTCCGTAATCGACGGATGAGACATCGGTGAGTACTGAGTTATGTCAGGTGGGTTGTACACATAACAAAAAAAAAAAAAAAAAGAAAAAAATGAGTCCTTCGTGGGATTTTAAATAACAATTTACTTTTTTTCCGCTTATGAAGCCAATTTATTTTTGTATTCAAATAGACAGAACAAATTAAGTTGCTCAATTCTTATAATTTCACCAAACGAGATGTAACATCTCGTCTTGGATACAGCCGTTTTTTGTTTGTTTTTTTTTTTTTTTGGTTTTTTACTGTACTTAATTAATTTTTGGTGATGTAACGGGAGTATAAATCCTCCGGGTCAATAAATAAAAAATAAGGTTCACTTCCACTTAATTGTTCCCACAATTCAAATTGTTAGTAATTGAATTGTTAACTTAAAATTTCATTTTAGCATTTAAACTGAAACACTTCTTTACGTTTAAAACACTCGTCTTCTCTACTATCTAGAAGTGCTCAAATAACAAATTCAACTTTAAAAAAAAAAAGTCAGTATATGTAACTCAGAAAATTCAATTGTTGAGTTGTGAAGTTTTCGTAGATTATATAATGATTCCGAATTCGGAACCTTTAAAAATGGTAAACAATTCTAAAATTCTCTAATTAGTTGTTTTTTTACAGGTTGCTTTGAATAAAAAATAAAGATTTTTTTTGTGAAGTTATGCACCAATTGTAGAATAGGTAGATTTTTTAAGGTATTTGTAATTTATTTATTTATTTTATTTAACCAGATAAAAAAAATCGTTAGTTGGTCATAATGTTCTTTTCTTTTCTCATTGTTTTCAATGTACAGAAATTTCATTTCTTTTTCTTAATGAATTTATTTATTTTACTTTTTTTTTTTTGACGATCCGCTATATCTTTCTTTAATTTATTATTAAATATATAGTCATCCACGATAACAATAACACCTGTTTTCAAATAACAATTTATTTACATTTTACATACAATATACATACAATTGAATTATTCTTTCAAGTGTAAAAGATTTTTTACTCTTTCTTTCTTTCTTTTTTTAAAAATATAATCTATTTATTTTAAGTGCATAGAAGTTTTCATTTTTAAAGCTTTTTAAAGGACTTACATTTCTTATTTTTCAGTTTTCATACATAAAAATTTAAAAATTGTTGAATTTTAGGTGCTATAGTTGCAAGTTTTCTCTGCAAATGACACAAGAAGCTCATTCATTAACATTTCATTTTAACAGTTAAAGTTAATGATTAACTTTAGTTTACCATCGCTTGGGTGAGGATCAGTGAGTAATATTTTAAAATCGATGTAGAATAGGTTTTAGTTAGTACCGCCACTCAGTTTCGATGCCTAATGTTTAAAAATGAAAAAGCATTCTTGAAGCTTTCATTTTAGTTAGCTTTAAAGGTTTTTAATTGAAAGCTAAATGATTAATAAATTTAATTTACTATTTCCAGTAAGCAAAATACTCTGGTGTTTTTCAAATAGAAATTATATTGATTAATCTCAGCCTTTTGGTTGCTTTCACAAAATTGATCTCTTTTTATTTTTTTACACACACATTTTGACACATTGTAAATAAAAGTTAATTCTCGGTTTTAAAAACCTTCCAAAAATAAAATACACTTTTCTGAAACCTTATTTGGGGAATATTAGCTGATTTAAAGTATAATTACTGATCTGAAAAATATTATTTACTTTAAGTATAAAATAACAGAGAAATGGACTTTTAAAACAAATAATATAGTGTTGATTACGCGCTTGTTGCCGTCACTTGTCACTCGTAGATCATTTAACAAGTGATAATACATTTTATTATCACTTGTTTTTAAATAAAATGTGTCAAAACCAGGAAAGCACTAGGTTGGGAATATAAAATATTATTTTAGATGAAATTTATATTTTTGTCTGATGATGTTCATATATTTTAGAGAATAAATGTCATTCATTTATTCATTACTCACAGTTTACAATCGGAAAAAGAAAGCGGCTGTAAGTTTCAGGTTTTGATTAGTAATCACCAACCCTTTTGATCCTTTCTTTTAGGAAAGGGAGTCGCTTGATGTATGTTTGAGGTGAGTGTCTCCGATTTGTTCCAAAGTCTGTTATTTTTCTGTTTTGTTGGGTGTTTTGTTTTTTTGTCTTTTTAAGATACTGAAGCCAACAATGATTGAAAATTCGTTTTTACTTGATCTATTTGCTTCTACGTCCGCAAATTTCTAATCGTATTTTAGATTTCATTTTTAGTTGCTTTTTCCTGTCATTTTATTCAAGTTATGTCGCTTTTTTTACACAACTCAGAAATCTTTATACACTATTCTAATTATTAAATGTTAAATATTACTATTTTATTTTGAAACGCTTGTTGCTTCAAGGTATAATTTGATTCAGCCAGTTCTATGATGGGCCCTTCTCTATTCAGTTTAACAACAGTTCTCATGTAAAAACTGTATTTCAACCCTGACAATATATAACAAAAAAAGGGTTGTAAATTTGTCCCAGGGAGTGCTTGAAATAAGAAAGAAATTATCTTATTTGTAATGAAATGGTTCACTAGAAAGTACATGTTAAATGTATTAGTTTTTTAAATTGTTGACATGGCTTCCCTTCTCTTTCAAATATTTTCATGGCAATTGTTCTGATGAGCTTTCCTCTTTGGTGCCTTGACTGCATGGATTTAAACATGCTACCATATTGGTAACTAGGTCTCACTGTTTTACTGTTGAACTAGCTTGATGCAAACGTATGTTCTATTCTAATAGTTCCTTTTCTTGCACTTCTTGCCTGCAGAACTGCCTTCCAATTTCTTTCTTCCCTGCCACCTACAATCTTCAAAAATTTAAATGCAATGTTAATTCTGTCTTCATGAACTGTTCTTTTAATGTCCTTTCTCCTCACTAATGTTTTTTTTTTTTTAATTCTCTTTAACTCCCAGTAACCCATTGCATCTTAGTGGCATTATCACCTTGCTTGGGATGAAATGTTTAAAAAAACATAAGTTTTGTTGTGGTTATTGCTTTGGTATTGAAGGTTATGAAGTTTGTGCAGTTTACATTATTAAATACATTTATTTTTAAATAAAGTATTGATTGTTCTATCAGTTCATAATAAATTGACAGGAGCAGATGTGTCTGCAGAAAATTACTAGAAAAAGAAAATTTTCAGATTGGTATTATATGCAATATAAAAATGAATCTAATGGTTGTGAAATTTTCTTTAAAAGTTTATTGGCAAACATGGATAAATGTATCTGCAATAAGATTTAGTGTGAAAATGATGGTTTTTCCCATGACATCACTTTTTTTAACTGCCTTTACTCTTTGGCATCATTTATTATTTTAAAAAGCAATGATTAAAATTAGAGCAAAACCTAAACACATGATGAAAGTGAATTTATACACTTTTTTTAGTTCTTGAAAATTTACAAGAAAAATATTATACTTATTAGAATGTTTATTTACAAGAATAATTTTATATTTACAACGTTCTAAAAACTAATATAATTAGAACTAATGCAACGCAGTATTGATCATTTACCAATTTATAAAGAAATAAATGTGAAAACATTTTTTATTCATAAACATTTACTAAATTATTAAAATATGTGAAACAGCTTAGAAAATGCATATTTACCATTTTATAAAGTTTGAATTGATTGTGAATTACCTGATGTTTTGCCAACCATTCCAATAAATGATATAATAATAAATGGTGTAAATAAACAATCTAATAAATAGTATTTACATTATCCAGACTATTGTCCTCATCTTTGTTGCCATATTTATCAATAATGTAAATAGTGTACATAATGCCTCATCTCAGAAATATAGACAGATACTAATAAATAGTGTTTATTATTTTTGTTGTCAAGTCCTAAGAACAAAGAAAATGTATACCTTCATGTTTAGTTTTTATTAAAATTCTAATCATCGCTTTTTAAAACAAACATTACCAAAATATGAAGATAGTTAAAAAGAAATGTTAAGTGAAAAAATGTCTTTCTGATACTCTGTCTTATTGTGAGTGCATTTATCCATGTTTGCCAATTTATTTCTTAACATCTTTTATATTTAAAAACAATAATGAATAATTGACAATTCTTGTGAAAATATGATTTTCTTATTTCAATTTTCTGATGAATCACAATTCTTCTTGTTATGAAATGTGATTTCCTTCACATTTTCTCAGTCCAGCAGTAGTCGTTAATCCTACATATCATATTCTACCCCTTCACTTACTGCTTGGACATTTATAGCCTCTATGCCTTAGCTGTGCTAATTAGGCAGTCATTTACATATCACTACATTTATGTTAATGATTGAATAAGCCCTTTGCAAGTACTTTGACTATAAAATACCCATGGGAACTCCTTTTTGCATTGTTAAATATTTGAGCTTAACAACTTTAACAAAATATTCCAATAACAATCATCAGTATGAATGCAGTTCATTATTTAAAGAAGAGGGTAAAAATGAGAAGATTTAAAATTGACAAAGTTTTTCATTTCACAGAAGCAGACATCAAACACATGAAAGCATTATTGCCTTCTCTTTCTTTCTTATGTACACTTTCTATTTCTCACTAAAACCAAACTGCCTTTGATATATGTTCTGTCTTTCTTTGCAATCAAAATGGAATGGTTCATTATTTAACTGTGGTACTAACTAACTAACAGAGGGACAAGCAGAATTTTAAGATAAGAATTTTTATATGACTAATCAAGGTAAACATTTTGAAACACCCTCTGAGAAGGTTTCTTTCTCTATTCAAGGTTTTATTGCTATGGTTATTTACTTTGTTTATCATTACCTGGCACAAGGCTACATTCGTTCGTGGGTGTGAAGTAAAACCTGTTAGAAAATTTGATTATTATGTTATAATCAGTACCTGATAATTCTTTATCATAACAGTTTCCTTTTTCATCCAAAATTAAGGTTTTAAAAAAGTCTTGAAAAAATATTTATTACCCAATAAAATATTTGTAAATATGTAAAGACAACTCTTTAAAAAAAAATCCAGTATCAATCTGATGAATACTAATCAATAAAAACTAGTCAAAATATATTTTCCCAATTTTTTTTAAGAGTGGACCGTTTTTCCTTAGTAGTGCCCAAGAACTTTTAGAGGTTGGGGAAACTTTGCTCAATCTTTACACACTGATTGAAAAAACAGACCCACTCAACATCTATTACATATTACTTTTTCTTTTACCATTTCAATAATGTCAATATGTACATTAAACTTTCTCTACTGTTAAAAATATTCTAATATTTGGAAAAATGCCAAGTTTATATCATAATTTTAACAATGAGACATTTCTAGGAAATTAAGATCAAATTAAGAAAATTGGGATCAAATATGAATTGGAATTTGACAGAATAAAATAAAGAACAAATAGGAAACATTTATCAATCTAACACATTTCACTTTTATTAAAGCTTCATCAGAGAATGAAATATGAAGAAAAAGAAAAAAGAAATTCTGTTTTTTTTTACTTTTGTGTTGTTTGATATTTTCATTGGTTAATCAGATTACCCATGCATTTGACTTGTTAAACAAACATTAGTATAATTTATGGCATTCCAAATTCAAGGAGAAACGATATGTCTCTATGAAGTTTTAAGAAATGAACAGATTCCAAGCCTAACTGAAAAAAACGTAAATATTGCTTTATGTATGTAAGTGTATAATAATTCTAATTTGTCTATGTGCGATTCAAATGATAATGTATATTCATACGTGTATATATATGTGTGTGTGTGTGTCTAGTAGATATTATATTTGCTGGTTTTTTACATGTTGATTTGTGATGTTTTTACATAAATAATATTTGTTTTAGATAAATTGTTTTTTCTTTATTGTCATAATGAAATAAGCACATCTCATCTTCCCTCTCACTTGTAACCATCCATCACAATTCATTTGACCAATTCACTTTTAGCACTGAAAAAATGTTTATTTTATTAAATAAACTTTTTTTTCAGTGCTAAAGCTGAATTGGTCAAATTGGTCTAAGTTTCTACTTAGGGTTGTTGATATATTACAATTTATTTGACCAATTCCCTTTCACAATGATGGAAGGTATACTCTGCCCAGACAAACTAACTACAGATCCAAATTCTCTGAACATTGAAAGAGTACCATCATCAGCAAAAACTTTTGAAACCTTTTGGAGGAATGTTGCAACAGAATACCCAATAAGTTACATTACTTAAAGTATGTATCAGCTAGTGTCGACAAGTATTTCTCAAATGCAGCCACATATGAGGAAGCCCAAGGAATTCTAAACAAACTGTATATCAGAAAGAAAAATGTTTATTTTATTGTTATGGAGAGGTGAGAGGGGAGATGGGATGTGCTTATTTTATTTATTACCACACATATCGATGGTATCAGATAATTCCCTAAAACATTGATCCTTCTGTCACAAATTACTGTTCATATTCCTGTGTCTTTCTATTAGTCAAATAATAATAATAATCATGAGTATTTTGCCAGATAAGATATTGCTATTTTTACATAATATAATACACTTCATACTGCTTTTCTTATGGCACAAAGATATTTCAAAAAGTTGAGCCAAACTGAGAGGTTGCTTTTTTAACCCAGGTTGAGGCTAAATCTGTCTCCTCCAGCTGCAGCTTACAAATCTATGATGCCGTTTCCCTTTAGGAATATATCTTCCCCAGATATAGAAAGAAATTCTGGCTCACAGTCTTGGGAAAACCCAAGATTTGCCCTTTCCCCTTTATGGAATATGTTCTTGCCTAGGACATAGTAGATGAATCCAGTCTGCTTGAATCTAGAGTCCTAAACATGGCTTCTCCAGAAACACAGAAGAATATCCATATTATAAGTATGACCTTTCCTTTTCTTTCTCCTTACACTCTGCTATATGTTATATTTTTCTTTGCATGGGACATGTGTAATTATGTATATATAGTTTTGTGTATGTCTTATATGGTATAAAACTCTCTCTAAGAACAAAGCATGTTTGTCATTCTTTTTCCATTCAGCTATTTCATACAATGTTATTATATCACAGATATAATAATGCCCATAATGAAGGAAACATAAAAGGGAGAATTAACCTTTCTTCCATAACTCTTTCCCATTATAGAGGCATACGTGGATTAATAGTACACTACATCTTTTTCCTATTGAGTATTGTTCTCTTTCATAATTCTCTAATTCATATGTGCACTCATAGATAGAATACTTCAACCTACAATATAAAGTACTACATAAAATGCTACATCTTACTCAAACAATATACGTATAGACAATATGAAACATATAAGACATTTGATTTCTGGATCCATGTTGATTACTTACCAATTGCAAAACAATTATTGATCCCTGATCAATGCAGCTGATCCATTCATTTTACAAATAAAAACACAGCTGTTTAATTACAGTACACTAACTGATACTCGAGTGATCCTCTACGACTGGACAGTCCTCAAAAAAGAGAGGGATGACCCCAAAGATGCTATTCTCTACAGTTATCCAGAAACAGTAAGTTAAACATTTTTATTTCAAATATTGCATCTTCATTTCTGATATGAAATGACATTTGTCATATGTCTTAATCTCTTGAATTATAAATTTTTAAAAATTTTGTTTATGCTGCACTTTGAAGATTTTATTCAGAATAAATATATTTATTTTGGCTTTACTCAGAAATAATTACCAGCAACTCTTTTTTTGGTGTAGTCATTTATTGTCATCCTCCCAAAAATGAGATGTTGATAATTATTCTCAAGCCAATCCGATATTATCTACTGTTCATTTTGTATAATGTGCAGAAAGTTGTTTAGTCATAATCGCGTAGGACACTGTACATAAAACAGGAAGAATGTTTGTGTACATTTTTTATTTGTAACTTGAAAGAATAGAAAATTCTAGAGTTATGCATGGATTTCATTAAATGAAGAAGTTTTGTTATGATAAAAATATTAAAAAATAATAATCCTCTGGTACTGCTTCTATAAAAATTAATACTTTTTTTCAGTAAAATTTGTATAATATAAAATTATGATAATGGCAGCAGAAAAAGTACAATTTAACAATAAAATAAACTGGGCAAAAATTGATCAGTTTATTAATTTTATATACCTTGGTCATAAGCTATCTTGCAAGAATTACCAAGAAGTTGTATTAAAACACAGAATAAGCCTTGTGTGGGCTGCTTTCAGAAAATATAAAGGTATTCTGAAATCAACAAGATTAGCAGTTCACATTAAAATGAAGATATATCTTGTACGCATTTTTCTTGTTGTTTTATATATTCTAGATTGTGTGGCATGGACTCAAAAATTTTCAGCTTAAATCAAAACCTTTCAAAACCATATGATATGCATCTTGACAGATCACAAGCTGATAATCATAGTGAAAATAACCATTAGTAAAAATGTAAACAATTTGCCTTCACTCTTTGATGCCATCTGTAGCAAATCCTTGGAACCTATTTGAACACATTAAAATATCTAATGCAAGGCTCACTATATTGTGTCTTGAAGATGTGGGTGGTGCCTCATAAAAAAAAAGGTAGAGAAAAACCAAAATAAATAGAAGGATATCAAAATTCTGTGACCACCAATTAACGAGTTGGAAAACTTATTTCAGTCTGAGCAAACAGAATAACTTTGTCATGCATTGGTAAATAGGATTGTACCTATTTGTATGTGTTAAGTAGAAGAGAAATAAAGTGTATAACAAAGAGACAGGCAGAAGTTTACTACTGATCATGTGTCTTAGAACAATGCAATAGAACATCATTAAATCAAAGAAGTTTTGTTTCTTTTATTAAAAAAAGATTTATTAAACTGCCAAAGGATTCATTTAATAGCTTGTAACTGAAAAATATTTGATAAATGGTGACTTATATTTTTAGATTTTGCATGTGTATTTTAATTTGTATCATCATTGAGATGAGGTACAAATGCTGTTGTAATAATTTGATTCCTATTATTTAACTTGAATTTCAGTTTAAATTTAAAGTGAATCTCAACATTTCTTTGCTTCCTTAAATAAAAAATAAATTTGAATTAATAAATATTTATTGGACAAAATTTACTTTGGTACAAGGCCAGATTTTGTGAGCATTTAAAGTAAATTGTGAAATTGCTAGTCATACAAATGACTCAAATCAATTTATCATTTCAATTTTCTCTTGGCTTTTATTTATGCATTTGATGGCATTTAATTTTCTCGTTGTTTCTGGGACCATATGTAAACTCAACTGAAATTTGGGAGAATTTAAGGTTTTCCAATTTTGTTTGAATTAACAAATCTTGGGGGAGTAGACTTTAGTATATTTGCAATGACTTAACAAACTTGCTTACTTGTTTTGTTAATCAAATTTTGAGTTACATATTACTTCTGTATTAAATAGTTTTAATTGGCAAACTCTACTACATAGTCTTATTAATAAGTTTAGATGTTTAAATACTTTCAGGCTTGTGACTTTAATAGTATTTAATTGTTTTTCTCATTCTTAGATGAATGATACAGAGTTATGTAACTTGGTTGGTCAGCTGATGGGAATGGTTGACCTCTTCAGCAAACATCTCAGCTCTCCCCCCAAATTTATTTACCTTAAGTTTGGGATGTATGTCTTCAAGCATGTTGATAAATACTGTTTGGTAAGTATTTTCTTTTTCATTTTCTTGTTTTCATTGTGTTATAGGAGAATTTAATAGGTGCAAATGAATTCATAGTGTCAAGTGATTTGATCTCATCTAACAATCTGGTGATGAGAATTTAATATATTTCCTGACATTCTGAAAATGCCAGAGTATATTCCTAACCATATTCAAGTATTTTACAGGGAAGGTGGAAGAAAACTCCCAATTTAAAATTAATAAATCTATTAATTATTGATTGATTTTCCTGGACATTTTGTACAGTATAATGGTAGAAATACAATACAGTGTTAAAATTCTACAGAGGCACCAGCATTGTCCACCAGTGTTTGTAATTGTCTAGGCATATCCTTGAATATTTCCTGTACCTTTTGCAAATTTTCTTCTAATCTGGATGTTGAAGGACAACTGCTTCTGTGGGTATCTACCACGGATCTCGTACTCATCAGCTTGGAATGACAATTTCTGGTTTTGGCATCTACTGAAACACATGATCCTTGAACACTGCTTCACTTTGTACTTGCATTTTGTAACAGGTTGCTTGCTGAGTATGCTCCTGCAGTTTCAGGCATTGTGCCATTCTGGGCTACACTTACAACTCTGAAATAAAAACAGAAACTAGCAATGAAATTCTACCACTTTAGGGATCACAATATATTTTGTTTGATGCAAATGTGGCGATAGTAACAAAAGTAATCTTCAATAGGGAGTTTCTTTCCATTGTCCCTCTAGATATGCTTATTTTATTCAGTTATATAAATATTTAAAAGATGATTTGTTTTTATGAGCAATAAGAAGAAAGGCTTTCAATTTCAAACCATGGCAGCAGAATAATAAAAACATATTTTGTTTCACTACCAGTAGCCACAGTTGTGCTACACAAAGGATTTTTCTGATTATGGCTTTTGTAGTGAACCATGATGTCCCACATCCTGAAGGGACATTACACATAAAAAGAATAGCTATTTATTCAATTCTTTTATGAAAAAAATTATGAATTTTCTACTTGATTTATACTTTAAAATGGCTCAACACAGGGTGTCCCTAAAGTTTAAACTCATAGGCAAAAATGCATATTTTCAAGAAATTAAATTTTCAACAAAATTTTATTAAAATGGAATATTAACAAATAACATTTTCAATGTGATTTCCATCCTTCGTGATGTAAAGGTTGATGCGTTTTGCAAGATTTGCATGAAATACATACAATAACACCATATTCCCATCAATTTTAGCACATTCACTCTTTATGCATTCAGTCAAATATGTTGCATCTAGGATTTTCATTGAGTACACCTTTTCCCCAGAAAAAGTCAGTTCTTCTTCTTTCAACAAAACCATGTTTAATATGTGGAGGTAAAAAGTAATACTTAATGAGATTTCCTATGTGTCCAGACTTTAAGGACACCCTGTAGATAAACTTCTTTTTTGATTACTCAGATTAAGCAAAGTTTGGTTCATGGCTACATTTATTGAACACTTAGTCAATGAATTTGATTAGTATGCTAAAGTCTTCATTAAAAAAAAGTACTAAAAGAATTAAAATGCCAATAAGGTATGTTTAGTAATAGAAACTGCTGTTTTTTTCCCCTCCTCTTAGGTCTTGGGTAGCACTAATCACCAGAATGGCTCTGCATTGTTACAACAGTTGGAATTATTGTATCAAGTCTTCTATCTTCTGCAAGGTAATATCAAGAATGTAAAGACGGTAAGTGAAGCCAAATTTACCATTAAAAATATTCCCAGGTAATTTGTATCAACTGTCAATCAAAAGTTTTAAACCAATTGTTATGATGACAAGATGCCTCCCCCCCATAAACAGTTTAAAAAAAGAGTGATTAAAAGTATTTTCCTATAATGTATAACATTTCTGCTGTGTTCATCAAAAGGCAAAATCAAACTTCTATTAACTGACATTGTTATATATTTTTGTATACACAGCATATTCTACTGAAGTTTGATAAAAATGGCATGACAATATATAAAAGCATACAAAATACTTATACATTATTTGATATTAAGGTAATTTTGATAAGCACAAAAGGAGTTGTTTGATTTTGTTGTATAGTTACATCCTCCTTGAAGAATTTTAAAAGTATAGTTATTTTATCATTATCTTCATTCACTGTTATAATAATTTTTGAATGAACCTATTTTAGAATTCTTTTGTGTCTTATATTAATATTTATTATTAAAATAGACAGTGGGGATTGGGGTGACTTAAGACTTTCTTATATTATTTCAAATGGCAGATGAATTAACATTTTTATTTGCACTCATATTGCAAATTGGTTATGATCAATTATAACAGGAATCAATCACCTTTAAGACTGTTTTTTTTTCTGAAATATATTCTTCCTTTTTAATATAATTGATTTCACTTTTTAGTCTTTCAATAGCCACTCTGTTCCCATGTACCTAACAGGCTTCAAACTCTCAGTACATGTATTTTTGCATGTGAAATGATTTTAGAGGTATCTACTTATATATTTTCTGCTATTTCCAAATGTTCTGCTATCTCTCAATATCTAAAATCAGATAAAATTGAAACATTTATTAGGTTTAGTGCTTATATTCATAAGTCATACTGATTAACTATTTCTATGGTGGACACAAACTCTAGCCCAGATATCTAATCTATCCAATGTAACATAGATTGATGACTAAAAATTAATGTCGAGAAATTTGTTTTTCATGTACTTTGTGGTGTAAAAGAATTAATAATAGTAAAGGAAAACAAGTTAAAATAGTAAATGGTTCAGGATAAGTAAAAATAATAAGTAAAAAAGAAAGAATAATAAAATAAATATATATGTGAAAAAAGAGAAGAAAGAAAGCAGATGCTAAAACATAGGAATAAAAACAAAATAACGACAATTTATGACTTTTCCATCAACTCAGTCAGACATAGAACAAAGATCTGTCTATATTTCTGAGATGAGGTATAATGTACACTATTTACATTATTCGGACTATTGTCCTCATCTTTGTCGCCATATTTATTACAACATTTCAGCTGTTGTACGTTCCGGTTTTCTTCAGGTGTTTGGAATGTCGAACTGAACCCTTTATTTTTCTCACTGGGGTAAACTGTTCTAGTTCCACATGCCATGTCTAATGGATACAACCACATATGGAGAGAAAAGGGAGATCTCCACCCTTTGTGGGATCAGGTTGAGATTATTGACAAAGAACCCCATTGGAAAATTTATAAACTTAAGGAATCAGCACATATGCTAGGCCACAAAAATCTCCTGAGGCAACCAAGCATAGAAATGAATACAATATGGGAACCAGTAATAAGGAGTGCCAGTTAAAAATGATAATAACAAAAATTGCAATATGAGCTCTGGTAAAAACATGAAATGATAACAGCAAAAAAAATTGCAATATGAGCACTGGTAAAAAATGTTTGCTGATGACATTAGGTTTATAATACCCAGAAATTCATACACAGATGTTCTCAAGGACACATGGCACAGTAGATAAAGGTGTTAGATCCAGTGACAGGACCCAAAGAGTGTGAGTTCAATACCCGGTTAAGGCAGTGGAGAACTTTCAGAGGGAAATTAACAGATAATTGATAACTGACATCCATTAAACATGGCACATGTTCAGTTCGACATTCCAGCCATGTACAATGGCCAAAACGTTGTAATAAATATGGCAACAAAGATGAGTACAATAGTCTGAAGAATGCAAATAATGTCTATCTATGTATATATTTTTTAAGAATATTGTATATAACATGTAAATTGATATTAAATTGACCTAGTATTTTTTGTAAATATGGTTATTCATGCTTACCTTTATTTATTTATTTATTTATTTATTTATTATATATATATATATATATATATATATATATATATATATCCTTTAAAAATTAGATCAGTTGATTCTGCTACTTTGCTTACAGTATTTTCAGTAAATATATTAAATAACTATCGGACTTAATCCATTTCATAATATATACACATGTGTATATATTATGAAATGAATTAAGTCCGACAATTATTTAATATATTTTCTGTTTATACCTTATTTTTATAGATATAATTTATTTAAGTAAATTCTCTGTTTTTTTAATTAAACAGTATTAATTACATTTACCAGCCTGAATGTTCAAGAAATTGCATAGAAAATATGCACTCTGTATAAACAGAAAATATATTAAATAATTCTTGGACTTAATCCATTTCATATGTTGTCATTGTTTAGATTAAGTTATGTTTCGTGAACAGAAGTTATCAACTGAGAAAAATAGTCAAAGGTGTGTGTTTATAAACAGTAATTCAGACTTTGTTAACCAGATGCTTCTTTTGTGGTTGGATGGTTAACAGCACATCAGATCAAATGACACTTTCCATTGGGGTTACAGGTTCAATTCCTTTTGGAGAGCACATATTTTCTACAAAATTTCTCAAACATTCAGGCCAGTAAATGTAATTAATACTATTTAATTAAAAAAACAGAGCATTTAGTTTAATAAATTATATTTATAAAAATAACGTATAAACAGAATATATAATATATATATATATATATATATATATATATATATATATATATATATATGCCCATATTGGCTCACATGCACAACTGTGCCACAATATTAATGATTTATTCTATATTATTTTATTATAATTACCCATAAGTACTCATTTATATTTTAACTTATAGTTTTACCTTTGTAACTTTGTCATTTGTGTTGACGTGTATCTTTCTTTTGCCTTTCTTTTTTTTCCTCTTTCTTTTCCTTTTATTGATTTCTTATTTTCTTTCCTTTCTCCTTTATAAAAGTCTTTTTTACCTTATATGGAAAATTTTCCAATAACAGAAAATGAAGTGATGTTTCATTAATTGAAATTTTAAATAAAATCGTTTATTGCCATCATTGTTAACTACCTGATGAGACAAAATATACAGCTTTGTAGTAGTAACTTACAAGTTCTAATGTAACAGTTTATACACATACACGTACTTGTGTGTGCGTGAATACATAAGATGTGAATAATTATATTTATATTTTATCTATACCTTTTATAACTTGAAGTAAATAATTGTGGTCAAAACACAAAAGTATAAAAATAGGTTTTTATAGTAAAAATACCAGTATTACCAGCAATATATTTGAGTCTCGACAAAAACCCTCTTTACAAAAATACATCAGTGAAACCTGATCTAAAAACTGATTTCTTACAAAAGATACATATTCTATTCATATGAACCTATACTAAAAATCTTGACAGCATTAAATAACCCATTGAGGTTGATTGCACCATAAAACAAAATAAGCCAAACCAGCGTTTCTCAACCACTGTACCCGGGCACACTAGTGTGCCAGAAAAGTTGTGCCAGGTACATCCCAAGTTAACAGAAGTGTAATTTATAGATTCATTTTATGTCTAAAAAATATCTTTATTTTTAAAAAGTCAGTGACACCAAGCACATGGCTTCCATGTCTAAGTCAAGTCTTTGTCATTTGATCTTTTAAACTGGATTAAACTGGATGCTAAATTCCTTACTCTTTAAGAAGGAGTGGATAATCCTTTCCCTTTTGTCTTCATCTAGGCATGACATATAAGGCCTAATATTAAAAAAAGCGAATCAAGCACAGTTTTCACTGAAGCATACTTAAGTATACAATGTAATGTCTTAAAAATAAATGCTTATTTCGGGAGACTTCTTTATTATTTTCAAATTTCATGACTAGTTTAAAGTGAACTCCAGAGTTTGTTATTCTACAAGTATACCCTAGAAGTAAAGAAGGTTGACAAATATTCATTTCATCTATTGGGTACATTGTTTTATTTGTACTGCTATTATTATTATTTCACTAAATTTGAGTCATCTGTACTACCTGGCCCAGAGATAGCATAGTAACTGAAATGTTGTGATCAAGAGAACAAAGATGAGGATAGTAGTTAAATAATGTAAATAATAATAATAACTTTTCATTTCAGAAATTCAAACAAAAATAGTCTATAATAAATTTTGTTTCAATATCGACTTTTTCTTTCTTTTGTTTAGTCCATTGAGCACAGCACTACTGTAGAATTCCTGAATAGTCTCAAAACCATCTTTGACAGCTACCTCCCTCTCTGCTTTCACTATAATAGCGTTCTGGAACATTCTTTGGAGACGGTGCCTTCCTTTTCAATTCCAAAAGTAAGATTTTATTTCTTAATTACTTCCTAGCAAGTTATTAAATAGCCCATTCACAGGTTTTATATAGTTTTCCTTTTTTTCCATTTGCTTCCAATGTACAGGTTTCCTCAGTGTGGAATAATTGTCAATGAACCTAATCTAGCTGACCATTACTATTGAGTCCAGTTTTCACTGGATCCCCATTACAAATTTTAACCTAACAGGGATTGACATGTTGTAAAATAAACAAACCAACCAACTGCATGTATAGTTGAATTTCACTTATAGTTAATGCAGAAAGACTTTAAATTAATTATCTAAATACACGTGAAGATTTTAATGTTTTATTTGGAAAGTACATTCTAACTCTTCGTAAACCAAAATTCATGATAAAATGCAAACAAATGAAAATTAACCTCTTTCTTGGCATAGACGTGTATATGTTTTTACCAAAAGTGTCTTTTTCACTGATGAATAAACAAGTCCAAAACATAACATTCAAAAACTAGCTACAGACTTGTTTATACATCGATGTTGATTCATTTTATGCCCTTCTGAGCTTGAAACTAGTCCAATTGTCAACTGATACATCTGGTAGAGGTATTAGCCAATGCTAGGGTACTTCAAGGTGCTTCAGTTTCTTAGTTACTATATTAAAAACAATTTAAATATTTTGTCTGAAAATGAAATGTTTTTTCAAAAATAATTGGAGGGGAAGGGGTTAAATGTATTCTGAAAAAGATTGATATAAATTTACAGTCTGAAGACAACATGAAGTAGAAAATTGTTAAAAACTTACTTTGTTTTTGTCAATCTGAGCCATCAGTAAATCACAAAATGCAATCCAAATGTGTATATGTGTGTGTACAAATGATTGTTAGTCATCATGTATTATAGGTAAATGGTGGAAATACTAAATGTGAGAATGCAAATAGAATTACTTGTAATTGTGAGTAGAAAACAATATTTTGTATTTTATCTTTCAGAATGAATCACAAATCTTCATGGAAGTGGTCACATTGCTTGAGACATGTCAAAGACGTCCAGGTGTATTAGGAGGATGTGTTCTCTTTAAGAATAAGTAAGTTTATTATGATGAAATATGAAATTAGTGAATTTGAATACAATTTTCATTTCTTTTCATTTTTTCTTTATATATAATTTCTACATTTTCTGTAGGAAATATACATTCACATGTTGGATCAGATATTTTTTAATCATTTCACCACAAGCAAGGCAATAAAACCACTAAGATGCAAGGGGTTATTGAGTGAGTAAATATAAGAAACAAAGACAATATTAAGGAGAGAAAGCAATAAAAGAACAAGAATTAAGAAAACGAAAGATAATGATTGATATTTATTTCAACTTTTGAAGATCAAAGTTGAATGGAAGCCAAGAAGCTAGAAGAGTTCCACGTGTGAGAAGTGCAAGAGAAAAAATTGTTAGCATAGAAGTTACAGTTACATTGAGCCATTTAAACTGTAAATTGATGAGACTGTGTCACTAATCTAGTACTGCACTTAAATTCATAATGTCATGGTACCAAAGATGAGGGTATTTATAGAAAAGGCACAGGAAGCTGCATTACAGTGGTGGGAATGTGACTGAAGTCAATATGCCAGGTCAGGACCAATAACATTGCTGATTCTTTGGATTTTATCAAGAATCTCTAAATATATAATAGAAGCACCAGACCAGATATGGCAGCAATATTCTAAGCATAGATGAATGGTAGACTTATAAATATGTAAGATAGATTAGAGAAAAATTGTCTAGCATGACACAGTGAACCAATTTTCCTAGCGACAGATGTAGCAATTGATTCAATATAATCTTTCCACTTCATTTTAGCAGAAAACGTTAGTCTGAAAAGTAACAACGAATTACTCTCTTGGAGGTTAGCATCAGCCATGCTAATGAAAGACAGAAAGGGTCCTCTCAGATGATTAGAAGAGAGCAGTTTTGGTTTGGAGATGTTAAAATTAACAAACCAAAACATGCCAAACCCTGTCAAATCCTTTAAGATATCCAAAGCAACTACCCAAACTTCACCATTCTTATCTAAAACTTGATAGACTCTTTCAGCAATAATAATTAATACATCAGCAGTTGACCTAGAGAAGTAAAAGCCATATTGAATATCTGAAAAAGGACCCTGTGAGGTGAGATGTTTAACCAATTCAGAATTTAGTACTTTGTCAAAAAGAGGTAGAAGGCTAATAAACTGAAAGAAGGATTAGATAGTTCACCTGAGTTCTTAAAAACAGGAACTACATAATTTCTAACAAGTAGGAAAGCAAGAAACAGTAAAGCATTTATTTGTTTAGAGAAAACAGGGGCCAGTTCAGTAGTACAGTTCTTAGAGACTATTGTAGGAACAGAATCAAGTCCACATGCTTTGCCTTGATCCAGTTTAGAGATGATAGCAGAAACTATGGATAGAGTTATATGCATATCACTTAATAGAGACTAAGTTCTAAGTGAAAATAATGCTGACTTTCTCTTTTATTTTCCTAATCTTTAAGTTCAGGAATTAGATAAACCAAATTTTTTGAGTATATTCAAAAAATATTGTTTATAGTATGGTAACTCATTTAGTTAAGACAAAATATGAAATGGTGCTCCATTTCTCTATCTCACAGAATAACTTTAAGTACTAATATCACTCTCTTTTGTTTTCCTTCAACCATTCAACAACAGCTTTTGAAAGAGTTCTGTATTAATGATAAAATTTATATCAATGGTAAAAGGCAATTGTTAATTGAAAAAAAAATGAAAAGGCAATTATTAATAAGCAACCATGTTGCTGTCTTCATATATGACATGTTATGTATAGCACTAGTTCAATAATCTTTACTAAGCTAGGGATAACTTGGTTCAAGGTCAGATGTGTGGCACCATGTAAGGATCATTCATTACATTAGGCAGATGTCAATATGGCACCATTTTACTAACTGTTAATGATATTAATGATAAATGACAACATATTGGAATAAATAAAGAGAATGACAGCAAAGCTTCAGCAACAACATCAGCAGCAGTAGTTAGAAAAGAGAATCTTTAGTGAATGCAATCAAGCATGACAAGCAACAATGTCAGCAATTGGTAGATTAGGCTTAAGGCTCCAAGTTCTAGCCTAATGGATTAAAGCATTGGTTTGTGAGTTTGGTGACAGTGATTGTGAGTTCAATCCCTAGGCCGGGTGGTTCAGTGGAAGCAGAGAGAACAATAACTGAGCAATACTAAAAATAACAATGAGATATCCCTAGACATGGACAGTGGAATGAGAACAATCTACTCTCATAAATTAAATAAAGGGTTCAGCTCAAATTTCTCTGAAGATTAATTGGATTGGCTGAAGAAGGTTGGAGGACACAATGGTCAAATTGTTTTGATAATAACTACAAAGATGATAGAATGTGAATGAAAATGTGCAAAAGGAAAAGTAGAGAGAAATGCTAATTGTATTCAAGTGATGATCAAAAGTATATCATTTGCAAACAATTTAGTAGAAGTTTGTAAGCTTGATGTTAGAACATGTTTGATCATTTTAGTAGTCTGTTTTTACTGTTATAAGCAGAATTAAATGATTATATCATTTTGTCATAAATAAATATCATTTGCAGACAATTTAGTAGAAATTTGTAAGCTTGATTTTAGAAAATGTTTGATCATTTTAGTAGTCTGTTTTTACTGTTATAAGCAGAATTAAATGATTATATCATTTTATCATAAATAAATATCATTTGCAGACAATTTAGTAGAAATTTGTAAGCTAGACGTTAGAGCATGTTTGATCATTTTAGTAGTCTGTTTTTACTGTTATAAGCAGAATTAAATGATTATATCATTTTATCATAAATAAATATCATTTGCAAACAATTTAGTAGAAATTTGTAAGCTAGACGTTAGAGCATGTTTGATCATTTTAGTAGTCTGTTTTTACTGTTATAAGCAGAATTAAATGATTATATCATTTTATCATAATAAATATCATTTGCAGACAATTTAGTAGAAATTTGTAAGCTAGACGTTAGAGCATGTTTGATCATTTTAGTAGTCTGTTTTTATTGTTATAAGCAGAATTAAATTGGTTTTCCAACTAAGACTATTTTAAATGGAGCACATGACCATGTTGTATAGATAACAAATCCAATAAAGTGTACAGTTTTAATTTATTTTTGTAAAGTTGCTTTAATCTACTCTCATATAAATGGTGACCAATAACTGAGCTGTACTAAAAATAAGAACTAGACAAGATATTCCTTGGGCAGTGCAGTGAGAACAGTCTACCACTGTAGATTAAATAAAGAGTTCAGTTTAGAATTCCCTGTAGGTTACTCAGATCGATATACATCTGATGAAGGCCAGAGGGCACAATAGCTGAAACGTTGTGATAAAAATAAAGATGGAAACAATAATCCAAATGTAAATAGTGTAAATAATAATGATAACTCCTCTCCCAGAAATTTAGACAGAAAATAATTTTTTAAGATAAGAACCTTTTCTGCCTATGATCAGCATGGCTGACACTAGACTCCTGGAAAGTAACACACTGCACCTTCTTGGTTCTTGGCCTTGTGTTTTCAACTGACTTGAAGTGGAGTGACTACATCAAACCAATAGCTGCATTTACTGCAAGGAAAATTGGGTCACTGTGTCAGTCCTTCTGACATATTTACAAATCTACCATTCGTCCATGCATTGGATACTGCAGCCATATCTGGTACAGTGCTTCTGCTATTCATCTCGAGGTTTTTAACAATATCCAAAGAAGGATCTGTAATGTAATCAATCTTGACTTGGCATCTCTACTTCAGTCACTTTCTCACTAATATTATGTGGCTTCTCTCTGTCTTTTCTATAAATATTTTCATGGTAACTGCTCTGACAAGATTTTTTTCTTTGGTGTCCCAACTACATGAATTTTATTGTGCTACTAGATTAGCATCTAGGTCCAACTGTTGAAATAGCTAAATGCAACCAACACTTCTACTCCAACAATTTCTTTTCTTGCACTTCCCACCTGTGGAACTCCCTTCCATTTACTTGCTTCCCTCATAACTACAATCTTCAAAAATTTAAATGCAATGTCTATCGGCATCTGTCATTTTGAATCCAATTCATGTTTTTTCCTTTCTTCAATCCTCTCTGTATTCAGTCTTTTCTCTCACTTTTATTCTCTGTAACCCCCTGCATACTAATGGCATTCCCACCTTGTTTGGGATGAAATGATTAAAAAAAAGGTTTAGAGTTGAAAATGATCTTATTGATTTTGTGTATTCAATAGGAACTGTCATGATCATAAAGAAATACATAAATAAAAAATGAATTATGCAGTCATTGTGCTGTGTCCCTAAAAATGAAAATTATAGTGTCAAAAATAATTATAATAATATAATTATAACAATTGTAGTTATCATTAATTCACTCTTTCTAAACCAATGACTCCACTTTTCTCCTCTACACACACAAACATATGACATTCTGACTATTGGACAAGCAGTCAACATGGACTGGCTGTCAACATGTGTGTAAACAAAAATTTGGGCCCCTTTTCCTTTTTTAGCCATATTAGCAACATTAATCTCTCTTAGCACTCAACAAAAATTCAAGATAAGAAAACCCCAAACACTTCTTGCATTTTCCAAGCATATTCTCTGGACACTCATTACAGATAAAAAAAACATAGGAGAAAGACTGTATACACTTTACTTATTCTTTATTGCATCATACTGTCAGATACTGATCCGTATTTGATCTACACTTGACCTCCAAACTCACAATTTGACTTAGTATTAGTGTCTCTTGTGTCTCCAACACAACATAACAACCAAATAATAAATAATACTTATTTTGTTGTTTCCATGTCTTGTTGTTTCTCATTTTTACAAGTATTTTTTGTATATATAAATATAAGTGGGTTTATAATTATTTACCCAGAGTTATAATTCCCTACAGAACCTGATATCATTGTTTTGGAAAATTAGTTGAAGTTAGAATTGAAAAAGTTAAAATACTATTCAGGTACAATAAGTTAACTGGCGATAATATTAAAATAGTTCTGGGTAAAGGGAAACCACAGGATTATGCAACATTATCTTCTCAAGAATAGATGAATGTTTTTTAAACTGCTTCATAGTAAATTATTAAAACTTATTATTTATTTCTCTCCTTATAAATTAACCTTATTTCTTTGACTTATTCAGGATGGTTTTCTCACAACTTCCTCAGACCTTGACTAAAGTTTTGACTGCCATTTATGCTGATCTACTAAATGTGAGTCTTTTTTTTTATTGTTGTGGTACGATACACCTAATTTACATAAGTGGAGTACCGACCATATAAATATGGGTTGGTACCGGAAGACGGGGGAAATAGGAGTTAGTAAGAAGAGATCGAATCGAGAGACTCTGCCCAACTGCGATTTAGTCAACCCATTATGCAGGAACAGTCTTCCCAAGAATATACCAAAACTAACTGTAAATATTGTGTACCTTTTCCTTGTTTCAATACATTTTGTTTACGTACATTTTGTGTTGTATTATTATTATTCCATGCTTATCCAAGTTTCAACAAATATCAAAATATTTTGTTTCTAATCTGTTAATAATTTAGTGTTTTCTTTTTTATAAAAAGATAGTGATAATAAATATGAATTTAAAATCTGTTTATTGATATTTTTAAATAAAGCAGCAGAAAATCAATGATTTCAAGTATTAAAAAAACTTTCTTTTTGAACCACTTATAATTTATGGAAATGGGTTGTATGAAATTTTCATTCAAATATAATAAATACTATAGGACAGATGTAGTACCTAATACAAAATTAAATTATAATAAGACAAATTAGAATTAAGTGAAATCAGTGATGAATTAAAGTTTAAACTAATTTTCAGGATCAATGAGAATCTGTCCAAACTAAGTAATAAGTAAAACAAAACTCAGAACAGAAGCACTAAACTTTATTTAGCTAAATGAAACTCGGCTACAAAAGAAACAGAAGGTAGGTCACAGATTATATAGCCTGCATGGACGAATATATTGCTTGTACAATGCAAGGATAGGATACCACATTCTTTGTGCCTTGGAAAATTGTAGCATCACCATCCATAATGATCCAGGGTGGGGGAGTCTCATCGTCCGTCTGGATCTCATTATCTGTTTGACCTCAGCAACATCTCCATTACATGTCATGCCCTTCTCTGGTATAAGGACAATCGGGGTACTTCTATTTTGTTCTGCATTGGGGAGTTCAGGAATTAACTCCATTCCAGGTCAGGGTGCTAAATCATGAACAGATACAATAGACTCCCTTCCACCTGGATATCTTATATTGGCATATATCACATTACTGTCAAGAAGTTCGACTTGGTCCACATAAGGATTAGTTTTATTGTTTCTTACAAACCTTTTTAATAGTATGGTACCTGGTGACATTAGCCAGGATGTCAGTTAACTCCCATGTGATGAACAGCGTGGGAATGCAAAGAAGCATTTATGAGGGGTGACATTTGTTGAAGTACACATCAACAATCTTATCTTATCTCTTCACGAAGCACCAAACCCCAGTACTTTTGAAGTATGTTATGCAACCTAACAGCTAGATGAATTGCCTTCCATATAATGCCATTAAATCGTTCAACCTGTGCATTCCCAGTTGGGTGGTTTAGGGTCATTTTATTTGTTGCAACTCCTTTTTGGGAAAGATAATTTCTCAGTTCCTCAGACAGGAAGGACACCCCTCTGTCCAAGTATATACAGCCGGACATCCCAGCTAAGACAAACAATAGATCTAGGGATTTAAATGCTAATGTCGTGTGCATGTTTGGACATGGAAAGATGAATGGAAACCGCGAGTATTAATCAGTTACTACAAATAAATATGTGTTACACATGACAGAAGGCATAGGTCCCTTGAAGTCAATATTTAGTCATTCCATGAGTCTGGTCACCTTGATAAGAGTGCCTTCTGGTGGGTAATAGAAATGAGGTTTAATTTCTGCACAGACTCTGCAAGAAGTGCACATTTTTTTTTTACCTCCTCCATAGAAGAAGGGAGATTTTTTACTCTAATAAAATGCAGGAGTCAAGTAATTCCCGGGTGGCGTGGTATAGTCCATTGTGAATGTCAGTGAGGGCTGAAGTGGTAATGGCTGAACAAATGCAAACTCAGTTAAATGTGTCAGGAACTACATTTTCCTTGCCAGGACGACATTTTATTGTGTAATCAAACGCAGCAATTTCTAACCACCCTTCTGAATCTTAGCATTTTTAATTTTGGTACACCTTTTGTTGTTAAACATGAAGGCCAACAATCAGTAACTAAGGTGAAATGTTGTCATGATAGTCGTTCCACTTGCAAACCACCTCAATAATTGCCATTGCCTCTTTCTCTGCTATGTGATATTTTAATTGCTCCCCTGTAAAGTTTTTGACATGAATTGAGGATGGCAAAAATGGCAACATCTGACACGTCTTACTCAACCTTGAAAGATAAGCTTTCATCTACTGTTTGTAGTGTGGCCTCCCCTAATTCTTTTTTTAATTGATTGAAAGCTTCTCAAGTAGGAATTTTTTAGAAGATTTATTTATCCATTCCACATAATATGTGAACATGCCCAGTGCCCTTTTTAATGATATAAAGTTTTCTGGTGGAGGTAGCTCTCTTAAGGGATGAAGTCTTTCTGGGCCTTTGTGAAGTTATCTTTTCCTATACATAATACCCTTTTAAAATGGCTACCTCACTGGACACACATAAAAAGCAAAGTGCTGTTATAAAATTTCTGTTTTTGGGTGAATAAATTGCTGCAATATACATAGGTTAATAAATGTTTATGAAAAGGCTGCAATTGATGTAAGGATAATGCCATTAATAGGATTAATAGCAGTCCTAAAGAAAAAGGAGAAACTGATCTTAGTGACTGGTCTTGCAGTGGCAGGCCTGCTGCAGCTGAGAATGAGGATAAGGCTTGACAATCTGAAGAAGTACTATTGCAAGACTCTGAAAGCCTTCAATTGAGTCATGATAATTCTTACAGTTTAAGGCAGTCTCTTGGCTACTCAAAAGTCTCTGAAAAGTTGGTTCCCAGAATACTGACAAACTCTATAAACAAACAGAGGCTGGTTGATGTACAGCATAGTGACTTCCTCAGAAGGATAGCCATAAGATGAGACTTCAGAGAACAGCGGTTTTTCAATGTGAAGGAAATGAAAGCATGTCCTTACTTTGAGGTGGAATGCTACGATTTTGGTATGCTTTATGTACTTCTTCAAGCTGCGATGACATCTAAGGTCGGCTGTATGTGAATACCCCAGTACTCACTATGTTCCACAGATTTGTCTCAATATTAGGGCTGTGATCAACGTCAACAAAGAATAATGCTTTCAAGACACTTGTTTGGTTGGGAAGTAGCAAAAAAAATATGATTTCTCACTTAATCGGAAATGTCTTCTCTCTGTTTAAAAAATGTCAGGTAATTACTTGAGCAGTACATTTTACCATTTTTAGCCAAACTTGAAACTAAAACTCATTTTTCTTAAGCAGATTTTTAAGATTCAACACATTGTTCTTTTAGGTCAAACTGATTTTTTTTTTTTTAAATGCCACATTCTTCCAGGATGTAGGCTATTATTAGATTTTCCTTAATTATTTGTGAATGACATTTGTGGAAAAGGCAGTGGAATGATTTCCTGTTACCTTCTCCACAGTTTGGAATTCAGAGTTTTCTTTCTCTTACACTGACTTCCATCAAAAAGTCTACAGAACTCAGTCTACTTTGCTATTTAAACCAGAGGTAAGGGTAGAAAAAACAAATTCATGCCTTCCCCAGGGGCACTTGTGTGAAAGTGAATGCAACAGACGAAGCTGAAATTTGAACTCAAATTGGAGAGTTCACTTTCTGTACCGATATCCATTACATTACCAACACACCCAGAGTTTACATATACTGAGTGTAGCATTTTTTTAAAAAGGTCAATTTTTAAAAAAGGTCAATTCTTATTAGTTTCATAATACTACTCAAATTTGTTTCAAGGGAATTTTAATATATGGTGATTCAATTCTACATGTCACTGTATCAGCTGTGATGACATCCAGGGTTGACTATGCAAATACACCAGCACTTGTTATGTTCCACAGATTCATCTCAGTAATCAATATTAGGGTAGTGATTACCATCAACAATAGTAACAAATGCTTTTTCAAGACACTTGTTGAGTTAGAAAGTAGCAAAAAAAATTTGAATTTTCTCTTAGCAATTTCTTCTTTCTGCTATGAGAAAGCAAACTTTTTCTAACTAATTTCTCACATAAAATGAGCCCCCACACACTCACTACCTGGTTATTTCATTGACTGCCCCTTCACTCACTGTCCAGTTCATTATATGGATACTGGCTGGAGAACCCACCACCCCTTTCTGTTCATTCGTGTTCCACCAACTGGAAAAGAGGACCACCCAGACAGGTTTCAGATGGTCAGTCTTTCAAAGGGCCCAACTTTTACAGCTATCTAAAAACACTAAGAAAATTTTATGTTCAACAATTTAAAGATGGGCTGGAGACAAGATCCCTGAAAAACCCTGGTCATTAAATTGAGTTAAAAAATTTATCTATCTCCCTCCCAGCCTCCTTCCATCCTTCTAAGGATGTATGAGAGATCATATTGCTACAAATATATACAAAATAATGTGTAATCAGTTTTTTCTAAATGTTTCAGCAGTTAAATAAATTCCAGGATTCTTTTATGTTTACATTCCTCTTGTGCTATATTAAATATTTGTGCAGTGGGGACATGTAATCATAAATTGATGCATTACAACTTCATGAAATTAGAAAGGAGACATATCAGAAATGTCTACTGACAAAATTCCAAAAATGGATAAAAAAATAATTTTGGAAAAGAATAATTTGCTAGACTTAAATTTATTTGCTTTGGATCATGTTGCATTACCAAAAGTTGTCTTCCATGAAACTCTCTTATCAATGTTCAAATATTATTGTATTGCACATCTGTCTACATTTCTGAGATGAGGTATTGTAGCTATTTACACTATGAACTGTTGTCCTCATCTTTATTGTCATATTCACAATGTTTTACCTGTTTCATGCTCTGGCCTTCTTCAGATGAGATATGTCGGAATTTCAAACTGATTCCTTCACTGGAGTAGATTGTTCTAGTTCCACGTGCGTAAGGACACATGGCACAGTAGATAAAAGATAAAAGCATTGGTTGTAGTAGTCTAGTGACTTGACCCAAAGTGTTGTGAGTTCAATACCTGGCCACAGCAGAGGTTAACAATAACTTGGAGAGTTGAGTTACCAAAGGGAAATAACTGTAACTGAGGTATCCAGAAAAGATATGACACATGGAACTAAAACAGTCTACCCCAGTGGGTTTGGTTCGAAATTCCAACGTATATAACATGAAGAAGGCAGGAGTGTACAACCATACAAATAATAGTGTAAATATTTTTGTAAGTTCAATCTTTTAAACTTTTGCTTTCTTGATAAATGCAATGTGACTGTTTTATTAGAGAAATATTTACTAATTTATAAACTGGTGTAGTAAAAAATGATATTCTTAAGATTTAAAAAACGGTTTTGGGTTTTTTTTCATAATTGGAAATATTGATTACATTATCAGTTGGTTGAAAATATCTATAAAAATTTACAAAATCAATCAGGTGATTATATTTTCTCTTACATTTACTATTTCTATATTTTCAGCTTCAATGTGAAACTGTTGACATAGGTGAGTCCAAAATGTAAAGAATGCTTTTTTTTTTTTTTTTTTGTTTGCTGTTTAATAAAATGTTAAAACCAAATTGGATGATGATCACTTTTCAAGTTTTTTTTTTGTTTTGTTTTTTTATAATGATATTCACTCTGAACAAGTCCCAGTAGCCACTCGAGGTATATGGTTACAGGGTAAGAGGCACAGTTTATTGGGATATGTGGGGAAGTTAACTTGAAACTTGAACAGGTTAAGATTTTAGAGATTGGGGAAGCATCCTCTTGGGAATTGGTTTCACTGAGCAGCATTTAGTGAGAAGAAGTTACTCATGTGGAACTGACATCTCACCAACGGAATACAAAAAGAATAACGGTGGTTTGTTACAATGTTCATAGCTTGGTGGGGCTTAGCCATGAAAATTAGAACTGGTGGAACTAAAGAACATAATTTGTCCAAATATTTTCCATGAAAATAACAATAGAGCAGTGAGAGGCTTGTGACATTTTGTCTGTGGGAAATGGGTTGTAGGGTGGAAAATAATTCATCAACCACAAGGTCATGGAAACACTTTTGGACTTATCAAGCCTGGAAAGTGAAAACTGGGCAGCTCCTGTCCATATATAGCAACAGTACTCCATTTTTGACCTGATCTGGTTCTTGTAGAGGATAGCAGGAGGAGCCAGGTATTTACTGGAGTGGCACAGGCAACCAACATGTTTTCCAGTATCTTTAGTGATGGATTGAGGTCTGGGTTTAAAGTCCCAATAGGTGGTCAAGACACAGCCACTCCCTGACAGAATGCCCATTCATCATGATTGGTGAAAATTCAGGGTTCATTCAATGACAATGGAATGTCAATAGTTTGCTTTTTAAGGCATTGAATGTAACAAGCCAGCCCCCACCTACTGAGGTGTTAAATCTAGGTCAGAGGATAGATCAGCTGCCTAGTTCTGGTCATCTAGAATTTTGGAGGTGCACCCATAGACCATGTCAAATCTATCGTAAATTCCTTTTTGATATAGTACAAATTCATTTGTATAAAGTGTACATTGCAAAAATAACTTTTTAAAAAGTTATTTTTGCAATGTACACCTTATACAAATGAATTTGTACATTGGGGCCCAAGGTAATGGTCTTGATTTTGAATAATACTTGCCACTGCTAAGTAGTCACCTTCTTTTTTGAAATTTGACTCCCCATACAGGACATCTCAGCTTGAAGGGGTTTTGTGTTATAAAGTTTTGCAAGGGCCTTTTGAGTTAGACACAAAGTTAACTTGTATCTTTGGTGTGACATCTTCTGACGTATGAATCTGCCTTGTGTCTGTCAGGTCTGATTTATGACCTCCGACTGGTCCATCCTTTGAAGTGTGGGTGCTATGCTCTTTTCGATCTCTTGTCACTGGCATATTATTTTTCTTCTGCCTTTTATTGAAAAGGGGACAATCATATCAGCTCTAGCCAAATTTTCACTAGGCTCAGAAAACCTGTTTCTCATTGGCCAATATATATATATATATATATATAAAAAAACCTCTCCGAGATCAAATAATTTTGGTGGTTCACTGAAAAAGCCTAAAAGGCCATAAATTTTGCACAAATTTTAACACACAATCCATCTGGCCTTCAGAAGAATAAGATTTTCTCAAAACTTGTATAAAAAAAAAAGTAGACAATTATTCATAGATCTTTAACATTTTTTACAAATCATAAAATTTTTTATAGTTTGCTTGCTTGGGTTGCAGCTAGCAATGGATTTGCTGAGCTTATAAAATTCCAAGAACAGATTTGTGCAAATCTGCTGAATCCCACCACTGCCATATACCATTGTATCATCAGTATAAATATTCACAAATGATCATAGCATGTGACTGTTAAATATTATAGTTGTTCTTATAAAACTTTGATCTTTTTAGTTATCAAATCGCAGAACTTTTTCACTTTGCTACATAAATGTTTTTTTTTTCTCTAAAGCAGTGTTTCTCAACCTTTCTAAGCAAAAGCACACCTAGGAGCAAATGAAAATCTCATGGCACACTTTTTTTTTAATTTTAGCAAAATTTTTAAAGAATATACATTTAAATATTATGAAATAAAACTATAGATTTAAAAAAATCTGCACACAAATATGAACTTACTTAATTTCAATGTTTCTATTCATCTATTTGTGTAGTTTATTTAATGTGAAATCTGTGCCTGACATTTTTTTTTTTCACAATTTCTTCAATGTTTGATCAAATGTGCAATAAGCAAACCTTCATTTCTTCTTCAGTTGAGTGGTCTTTCTCACTTCTTATTTTTGATATTATTTAGGGTTGAGAAGTATAAATAAGAAGTAGAAAGTTGCAATAAAACTGATAAAGCCATTTCTGATAATGTGGCATATTCATTTTGTATTGAAATCCGAAATGTATCAATGGGTACTGAATGTTTTATTTTGAGTCCTCCATCACTAGAAACGGTGGCCAATCTTCTTCACATAACTGAAGTCCAATATTAGAAGGAACATTTATGAAGAGATTTCAAATCCAACCATACTTTTCTGTGCTCAATGACGGAAAATAATAGTTGATATTTTCATCATTACTACTTCAACTTACATGTTTATATGTAACCTGTGAAAATATTTTGCAGCACACAAGTGTGCCATGGTATGGCAATTAAGAATCACTGCTCTAAAGGAAAAGAATATTTCTTACTGTCTTTGGTTCTAAAAGTGTTTATTCACTCAATTTACTTACTCCATTGCATTTATTGTCCATCTACTATTCTGTCTCATTTGATTGCTGTGAGTGAAGACTTAATGTTTAAATAGAGCCTTGCCTCAGCAGCCAGTACATGTACAACATAACATGTATTAAAGGTTTATAATTCTTGGTTAGCATGAACCAGTGATTCTGTCATACTGTGGCATACTAGTGTGCCATAAAATATTGTCATAGCATACATGTACATATTGTGCAAGAAAATGGGGAAAAAAAAAAACTTCTTGCGACACAAAAATGAACGCCTAATTGCGAACCTGAAATGAACACCTAATTGTGAACCTGAAACGAATGCCTTCTTGCGAACCTGAAATGAACGCCTTCTTGCGAAGTTGAGTCCATTATGGTACTCCAAGGTGTGCCTGGCGACAACACACACACGCAGTTCGAGGACGCTTCCGCGCATGCTCGTTACACATATATGTGTGGAAGTAGTAATTGTACAGCATTAGTATTTCAATAAATGAATAAGTATTAAACTTTTTTCGAATAATTCTTTTCAGTATTCATCAATTATGCTATTTTAAATACTTTGTTTTTTATATTCATTTTAAAAAATAGTTGAATAGAAACATTGAAATAAAGAAATTTGTGTGTGTGTGTGTATTTTTTTAAATCTATGATTTTTATTTCATAAAATTTACATATATACCCTTTAAAAATTTTGCTAAGTGTGCCGTGATATTTTTATTTGCTCCCAGGTGTGCTGTTGCTTTAAGAAACACTGACACAAACTATTAGCACCAGTTATTTATTTTTGTTTTTTTAATGAACTTGAAAACTGGGGGAAAATTTTCTTAATTTAGTCTATCAATTAAGATTGTTAATAAAATATTTTGAACTGCAGATGCCAAGTCATTCTATTTGTGTCTTTTTTTAACTGAATTTTAATTATTTTCTTCTTTTTTATATCTTTCTGCAGGTTCCATTCCTGAAGGAATTAGGCTGACCAAAGTCTATCTTTCTTATGATGAATACAATGATCTTTATGACACGCTTCACATACCAAATACTCAACACTATAGCCATTCAAATTTTAGCAGGTCAAATTCTGAAGCAAGTAGCAAGCAGTTATCTAAAAAGCAGCAAGCATCTGGGGAAAGCAAGGAAAGTGATGAACTAAATTCTGGGACAAAGTCAGAAAGTGAAACAGAAAGTGAACTCTCGTTAAAAGGAATAGAAAAATGTGAGTCAAAACAGAAATCTGCTGAGATGACATTAGCGGAGAGAACAAAAGCTAGGGCAGCATATTTCACTCTCATATCAGAAGCAACTACAACTGAGGATTTTAACCAGGTTGTTGCCTCTACCACAGGTAATTCTAATATTATTTTTTCTATGCAAGTTTCTTATCACCACTCTCTAATTCATCTCTTACCTGTCAAGCCTCTCTAACATTTCTATTGTCTTTCTTGCTTCCCAAACATTTCTGTTGTCTCTCTTGCCTCTCTAACTTGTCTGTGGCCTGTTTGCTGCTTCTCTAACTTGTCTGCTGCGTGTCTAGCTTCTCTAACTTGTCTGCTGCGTGTCTCGCTTCTCTAACTTGTCTGCTGCGTGTCTCGCTTCTCTAACTTGTCTGCTGCTTGTCTCGCTTCTCTAACTTGTCTGCTGCTTGTCTCGCTTCTCTAACTTGTCTGCTGCTTGTCTCACTTCTCTAACTTGTCTGCTGCTTGTCTCACTTATCTAGCTTACCTTTCACCTGTCTCACCTCTCTAACATATCTTTTGCTACCTAACTTCTCAGCATTCATTTAACTTCATCTTGGCTGTACTTCTTTCACTGTTTTTCTTTCTCCTTCCTCACATTTTCTCTTAAACCCCCTTGATTTTCTTTTTCTTTCATTCCTCACTTTCTTAATTGCCTATTTTGCTTTTTCTTTTTACCTTATATAAATATATTACTTTTTCATTCCTAGATTTTAAATTTTTACGTACTGCCAGTATCTGTTTGGATGTGGGTGAGACATGGCCAGTAGTTTGTGTGCCAGGCGCCAACCAAGATGATACCCCAGATACCAGTGAGAAGGATTCTCCAACACATGAAGGCATGTTCAGCAAACAACATCTCTCTTCATCTTCTTGCAACAGTGAAGAGCTGAAGAGCGAGAAAATGGTCATTGACTTCAAGAATAAACCTGAGAATCAGATCAAAGAGGCAAGCACTGACAGTGAAAGCTCCCAAGACTTGGAGAAAACAGAAGCTAGTCCCAGGTTAATTTTTTATTAAGATATGATAGTAATTAACACAAATCAATTTTTGAAAAAATATGATAAAGTTATGTTTAAAAGAATTTCCTATCAAAATTCTAAACTTCCCTCTAAAGTAAAAATGGCTTTTATTGCAAATACTACAAATAGTTATTTAATCCACCATTTGGTAGAACCTAAATGTACATTTTGGTTTTACAAATTTGACCATGTATATTATATAGACAAGAACTGTCTTTTCACTGTTTTGCATTTTCAGTTTAAAGTGTCAGGTTAACATTACTCATTGCTGCAAATCATAATATCAACTTGAACTTATATGGATTGGAAGGAAATTAAACCAAGAAGAATTATTCACTGAGTTATTATTCAGTTTTATATCTAAAAAAAATAGCTACTTATTAATTTAATAGTTTTAACAAATAAAATTAATGTAAACATGACTCCCTGTGGATCCATGTAACATTACTGCATGTCCACACAAAAAATACCAATTTGGAGGTCCATGGTAATATTTTAGTGGTCCATAGAGCAATTTCACTTCAGAATGGTTGAATTGGAATTTCTACGGTAACCTACGCCATATTAAAATACTAAACATAGAAAAACAACTCTAAAACTAGCAGAAAACAAGATCAAGAGTTGTAAGTTGGCATTCTCTACTGAATGTTTTGATTATAAAAGTTGAATAAAAACTGAGAAGGATATATAAAGGAAGGATTATGTATATAACGGAAAATTATATAAAGATTATAATTTATTATATAAATTAATTTAATAATAATAAATAATAATATTAATTTTAAATATTGATAAATTAATATATATTAATATAAATTAATTAATGTAGTAATAGACTCGACATTGTGAAAAGGGTCAATCTTTGACTATCATTAACATTGATGGGGCTGAATATAAAAAAACTTGCAGAGGAGCATCAACCACAAGGATTTCATTGAATAAATTTGCACCTTTTTTAAAATTTATTAATTACTCACATATTTTAAAATGGCTTATTATGAGTTATTTTACTAGTGCACATTTATTTTCATTAAATTAGTTTTACTTCAAAATAAAGCACATACATTTACTATTTCTATAATACAATTTGTAATCTTATGAGTAAAAAATAAAATATGCTTTTTTTTCTTTAAATGGTTATGGGAGTCAACCAAAAAAATTAAGAGTAAAAGTGGTCCATATGTAAAAAAAATGGTTCAGAACCACTGGTTTAAAGCTTCAACCAATTGGTTAAATAATGATTGATATTGTTCATTCCTGCAAATTATAAAGTCAATCAGGATTAATTTAAATTAAAGGAAGAGAAGGGACAAAGAAGAAAGCAATCTTTACTTTGTTTGTTAATCTATGATAGGTTTGCTTTACAAGAGTATTTTGCAGTAATAATTAATGTAATCATGACTCCTATTTGGAAGGACAAGTAATGATGTCCTAGTCCCAAAACAGTTTTCACTATTTTGGGACCTCAGTTTAAAGCATCAACTAAATGGTTAAATAATGGCTGATTCTGCTCGTTTCTATAAATCATAAAATCGACTGATATTTATATTGATTTAATGGAGAATGAGTGAAGAAGAAGAAAAGACGAACATTTAATAGAATTCTTTAATATTTTTTAATGAATTTTAAGATATTTTGATTATTTTTTTTCTTAACTTGTTCCATTATCAGTTAGGAGGAGGCTTTTTGGATATTGTCTAGTTTGACATTTCAAACAATTTCTACACTACAAACACTGATTTACCTTATACGACACATTTCTTTTCTTTATTGAGTCATAGTGACAGTCTGTGAAAGACGAATGCAGCAGAGACCTGTTAGGGATATCCAAAGAAAACAGAGACACACACATGTTGATAACTTCTAGTATGCTCAAGAGTTTGTCTCAAATCTGCTGATTCATACATTTCACATGTGTGCTATCTTTATTAGAAAGGAACCCCTGTTTCCAGTAGTCAATGATGTCACTACATCACAAGTCATATTCTCTTTTGTTTATTTGAAGAACAAGTAATGATGTCTTAGTTACAAAATGGTGAAAACTATTTTTGGACCTCAGTTTAAAGCATCAACCATTTGATTAAATAGTAGCATTGCTGCTCATTCTTGCAAATTCTAAAATTCATCTAGACGTATATTGACTGAAAATAGGAAGAGCAAAGAAGGAAGGAATATGCAATAAAAAACAAGTGAATAATTTAATTTGGCTCTATTAATTTTATATGATTTTTATGTAACTGTTGTGGACCCAGAATAGGTCCGAAAGAAAACTTGAACTCAGCAATTTAATGGAAACGTATTATTAAACAAAAAGAACGAATACAAAAGTGTTGCACGTCTGACTGATGGCAAAGTACAGTAGTCAACTCGTCAATTGTAGACAGCTCTCTTGAGAGGCATAATCTCCCCGTATATATAGTAATAGGACAAGTCCATTTAGTCCATAAAGATAGGTCCCATAACAGTAACTAATGAGTTACATCTGTCTATATTTTTGAGATGAGGTGCTGTAACTACTGATACTATTTACATTGTTTGGACTGTTGTCCTCATTTTTATTGCCATATTCACAACATTTAGGCCTTGTCTGCTACTAGGCTATTCCACTTGTAAGGCCCTTTCAAATCCCCTATTCTCACAAGTAAAGGAAAATGGAAGAGTGTTCAATTAAAGGATTTGTGTAAAACCGAGGATGATGACAGGTGTTTAAAATTACTGAAGAGTTATTTAGAGTCTACAATACGTTATGATAGCATTTATAAGAAAGGCTTATGGCATTGTCAAAAATATTATACATCTTGGTTGGAGGCTCCCTAGATTTTGGGGCCCTAGGCTTCAGCCTGCTAAGCCTATAGATAAATCAGTTGTTTCTGTCATTTAATATGTTAATCACTCATTTCATGTTCATGTATAGGTATGAAGTTATATAACTTGTCTCTCATTTTTGTAGGTGGCATTAAAATAGAAATTGTTGAATCAATGCATTAGTTCTTGATTTGTTCATGAAAATTTGATGTACAAAAGAAAAGGAAGATTCAAAAGAGAAATATTGACAGAAATTTACCAAAATAAAAAAAAAAGTCTTACATTGCAATTAAACAATTCCATCCTAATTGGCACTCATAATTTCAAGCAATCTTATATTTATTTTGTTTGGTGAATTTTAATTAGAAAATTTTCACTATTCAAAATTCAAAACTGTTCTAAACAAAAGAAAAATTGCCATTAGACAATTGTTTAAGCTACATGGATTGAAAATGTTATAATGAACTCATTATTAAAACTTGCACAAGTTTAAGTTTCAACTTGTTTAAATGCATTGTAATACAATTTTCTATTGTTTTTGTTACAGTAAAAAAACAGTTGTGGAAACTTCTCCTTTGACTGATGAACAGCAGCTGTACAAAACGATGATGAATGATTTATCTAAGAGAAGTCGTAGGAATAGCATCAAACCACCTTTCAATCCAAACCCAAGTTTGCCTGAATGTTCAACAAATGTTGAAGAACAAAACAGTCTGATTCTTTATGTTCAAACCAATTCAGAAAGTTCAACAATATTACTAATGGAACCCTGGGCTTGCAAGATGGAAGCCATTCATACCTTGGTATGGGGTCATTTTATTATCTGCATTTATTGTACTCTGTTAATGACAAATTGAATTTTTTTTTGTTAGGGTTGTTTATATAAATTGCAGGTTTAAAAAAAAAAAAGGGAAAAGGAAAAGAGAGGATGAAAGAGATTTGATTTCAAGAAGGGATTTCAAATCTCTTATCCTTCTTGTAACTGTTACAATAGTGTTTGATTAAAGGTTGTCTCCCCTTGGATGTAAAGTTCTTTTGGAAGGAGAGGAGAAAGAAGGAGGGAGAAGTGAAGGAAAAGATATAAATGAGTTATCCCTTTCTTGTGGCAAGCATCCAACAAACAAAATTACAATTGACATATGTTTGTAGATAAAGGGGCTACACTTCTTTTGACAAATACTTTTAGAAGTGTTAATGAAAAAGACTTAAAGTGAAATTTGCAAAGAAGCAAACATTTATTAATGATATATTTTTTTGCAATATACAAATTGTACAAGATAAGGCCTTGGACAAATTTTTTTTGTTCCATGCTATTCTTTGAAATACAAACCTGTTTCTGCTTCAAAAACAACAGTTCATGAAAAACAAATTTTTTCCTTAAAGGAATTTTATTTGCTTTCTATTAGAACAAAAGCCCATGTGATTTAAGCAAATTTTTTAAAAACAAAAAAACTTACATCAAAATGTCACAAATTCAAAAGTCAAAGGGTTGTATATATTTAAAATATCTAAAAATGATTCTCACAAAGATAATTACCCTGTATAAATTAATCTAAACAATTTCAAAATAATTTTTTCAAGAGTAAAAACATTAAAATGAATAAGTAGCATATGTAAGTATTATAAGGTATTTATATTTACATTTTACTATCAATCTTTTACTTCTTTCCCCTCTTTAATAGAAACATTTTATTTCTAAATGACCACACACACAAATGTCAAAAATATCATAAAATATTAACCCAAAAATGGAATGGTGAGCATTGATGGCTCAAAGTAGAAACCTATAATTAATAATAGATTTTTTATAAACCTATAATAGGTTTTTTTTTATTTATTTTATTTTATAATTAATTTTGCAGTGAATGAGTTAATTTGTGGTTTAGAGATTTCCTTGAGTAAAATTATTTGTTTTTGTGTTTTTTGTAAATGCAATGTTTCTTTGGAATGTAGGTAACCATGGATCTCCACAGATTACTTTTCTTTATTATCTGTGAATTGACATGTATTCTTAACAAACGTAGTGGAGTGGTTTCCTGTTAGCTTCTGCACATATTCTTTTTCTTTATTATCTGTGAATTGACACTCTTGAGAAAAGATAGTAGAATGGTTATCCATTGTCTTGTCAATGGTTTCAGAATTCAGACTTGTCCTTCTCTTAGGCTAGTTGCCACTAAAAAAAACTTTTCTTTTTTCCAGTGGAAATTCATTCTTCCCAAACTTGGAATACTTGATTATCATTTTAAGAAAATTGATCAAAATCCGAGATTAGATTGCGTGAGTATATTTGTTTTTGTAAATGTCTTTACTTTATGTATATTTAGACAACATATCTTCATCAAACATGTTTCATTGAATAATATAGACATATTATGTCTATTTATTTTCATACTGATCCTTTTCCAGTTCTCTAATCAGTTTCTTGATGTTAAGATGAAATTCATCAAGGAAGGTGCTGTAGTTTTTTCCTACCCAATACTTTCAGTCACCTCCAAGATCATCCTCAGGGATAAATTACAAAGACAAGCTTATTGTAACTATGATAAAATTTGCATTTCATTGTGATGACAATTTTTAAAAAAACAAATGAATGCACTCTGTTGTAATTATTTTAAATTTATCCATTGTAGCTATGGAAGTTTTTGCAAAACAAGCATCCCAATATAAGGGAGCTGACTGGAAATTGGTAGCATGAAAAATGGCATTAAATGTTTGTTATATGCACTTCAACGTGTTGCTACTACACTCGTAATATTCTTTACTTTATACATCTGTAGATACATGCCAGTTTGTTGCAAAGAAATGATAGACAAAAACCTTTTCCTCACTGCCTGTAGAGAAAGTCAGCATCATTCAACCCATTTATGGTTGATAGGGTGTTACTATTGCGAGTGAGTGTAGGCAGTCTATATTCCTGTATAATACTTAAAAGGAAAAAAAAACAGTAAATGTTGATTTATTTAATAGAATATTGTTAATAATATTTTAAAAAAGAGCTGTTGTAATAATTGTGCATTTAGATTTTTGATAATTTCAGAATAGAGGTTAAAATTTCTGATAATCTACTATTTATAAAGCTATATAAAAAGAAAGGACACAAAACCTCTCTCTTCTTTCATGCTTTAATCACAGGATACCATAATGATAAGAACTGTCTCACTTCCCCTCTGGGGATGTTTCTTAGCCCCCAGACATACCACATGTCACATACAAGACACCAGGCTATCTCCATTTTGAACTCATATAACCATAATAACATCTCCACCATAACCTATCAGCTAAATTATATATATATATATATATATATATATATATGCATATAAGATGACCTTTAAATCCACATCTTATACTACAATGCTAAAAAAGAAACCTTAAATTCTGAGTGATAATTGTTGATAGACTAACCTCAGCCTTGGTGTGATAACCAATAACATACATGAAAAGATTCACATTATCAAATAAACTGATAATAAATGTAATAAAACTGTTTCTACCTTATATATTATTGGCATAATTTCATCATGTATTGCCTATTTGAATAATAATTCCATATCAATGAAATCAACATGTATCTATGCAAGCCCAGTTGTGAAAATGTAAACATTGAGTTATAATTGCATTTACAGCAACCTTTATCTTTCACTAAACTTTCAATAATCATCAGGGTAGTGTTAATTACAGCAATAATATTTAGGATTTTCTAGCAGTATCATAGTTGTTCAATTCCTTGGCTATTTCAATAACTTTCAATTTAAATCTCGTTTCATATTTTCTTTGTTTTGCTGGTGCTTCCATGATTGATATGGGTATAAGTTAATAGGAAATTTCCATTGGCTTAGATAGAAGTTAGGAATAGACTGAATAAAAAAAATTAGTACACCAGGTTGTAACTGTTTAGATATAGGAAAGAAGAGGAAGGAAAAGAAGAAGAATCAGTATTTGCAAGAGATCATATGATGAAACATAAACAAAATAATGGTTTCCCTTTTAGGGGATGTGCGTAGGAAAAATGTGATATAGAATCGATTTTGCTATTTCACTTATTTTGAATTTCTAAGATTACAGTAAATGACATTTCCAGTAACATCATCATTATATAATCAATAATCAGTCATCTTGTATTACAGGTATAGGATAAATTAATGAAAATTTGCTATATTTTTTTTACCTTGTCTTATCTAAAGGTCACATTATACATGGAAATATATGGTATCTTTAATACAAGAAAATGTCTGAGTTCAACAAACAAGACAAGGCTGTTACAAACTGGAAACTTCTTTAACAAGCTGATAACTCAATGCCACTACAAATATTTCAAAGAAACATATTGTTACTCACTTTCTCACTCAGTAAATAGTAGTTTATTGAAGAATAGATTTTTCTCTCCTTAGGTGTGTTAATCTTAGTTCAGTATATAAATATATATAAAATCTGTGTATTTGTTGAGTTAATTTATTTTGACATTGTTAAAATGTTCAAGTAAATGCTTCTCCAAATGTGAACCTGTTGTGGGAGGGTTGTATGATTGGATAAATATCTAGTCACCATTATGTTGTGGTAATCAACACTTTGGATAGTAAATATTTACAGGCTCATAGAAAATGTATCCCACAAACAACATTGGTGGACTCAATGTGAGTCCAAGTAAAAATGATTAACACAAAACAATATAAAACAAATGACAATGCATATATTTACAAAAAGGACTTACATGTGACAAAAGGAAAATACATGTAATTTGCTATAATATGAATGTGTTTATTTGTATGTGTGTGTGTGTGAGAGTATGAAAGTCAGGAGAGAAAACCATTAAAATAAATGTGACCCAGTGGGGAGCACTCCCCCCCCCACTGTGTGACTACATCTTAAAATCAGAGTTGAAAACTGGAAAAGAGAGTAGAGAGATAAATGCATGCTTTGATATAGACTTAAAGAGCACTCACTAGAGACTTTTTTTTAGCAAAGTCAAGTGGAATAACCCACAAGCCTATTTCTGTTCCATTAGTTTTAAGAGCATTAAGAAATGATTTAAAACAGAACTAACTGAATTTAATTTGAGATGTTTAAAAATAAACTATTTTTTGAGTTTGTTCAGCCTAGGAAGAGAAGTATCTGGATGAAACATGCTTTGTATATTATTTTTTTTTATTTCTCTTTTCAGGCTCGGAAATGTGTCATGAAGAGTGTTGTGTTAGATAATCTACAAAAACAACTCACAGGTTTGTTGTATTATTGTTATGCATTAAATGAATTGTCAGCTAAAATGGTAAGAAATAAACAATAATATAATATTAGAAACTCTCTGTTATGAACAGGATTCTTGGAGTTCATTTGCAACTTAAATTTAGGACTGACATGTTTTTTTTTTTTAAATCAGCATAAGGCTGTCATGTCTTTGTTTAGATTGCAAAGTCATTCATTAATAATTAACATGTAGATGCAAGTAATAAGAGGTCAAAGTGAAAGAGGTCAATTTGATTATCTTTCCATTTCACTCTTCTTACATGGTTGATAATTCTGTGTCCTCTCATTGACTCTGACCATGATAGTTTTTTTTTCTTCCACTCAGCTTCAGTCACTTTCCCACCACCAGAACATAGATTTTCTGTGCCTTTTCTATAAATATTTTCCTGGAAATTGTTTTAATGAGCTTTCCTCTATAGTACTTAGACTTTATGAATTTTGAGCACAGTACTAGATTGGCAACAAGGTCTCATCAGTTTACAGTTAAAATGGCTAGCTGTAACCATAAGTTCTATGCTAACAGTTTTTTCTATCACACTTCTCACTTGTGGAACTCTCTTCTGGCTTCCTGTTTCCCCAGTCAACTTTGATCTTCAAAAATCTAAATGCAATGCTAATCTGTCTTCTTAATTCCTTAATTCTTAATTTGGCTCATTCTATCATGTTAGACAATTTTTCTTGTCAGAATCTATTTTACATATTTATAAGCCTACCATTCATCCATGCATTGAATATTGCTGCCACATCTGGTTTGGTGCTTCTGCTATGTATTTAGAGATTTTTGATAGAAATCAAAGAATCTGGACTGTTATTGGTTCTGATCTGACATCTCAACATCAGTCACTTCCCCACTGTCAAAACATAGATTTTCTGTGACTTTTCTATAAATATTTTCATGGTAATTGTTCTAATCAGCTTCCCTCTTTGGTATCTAGACTTTACAAATTTAAGTGTAGTACTAGATTGGTGGAAGGTCTCATCATTTTACAGTTAAACTGGCTACATGTAACTGTAAGTTCTATGCTAACATTTTTTTCTCTTGCACTTCTCACCTGTGGAATTCTTGTTGCAGGACTCCCCTCTTTTGTTACAAGGTATGGACGTTTTTCAGTAAATATTTAATGACTCCTGGTACATTTGTTCCACAAACAATATTTGGCAGGCTCATGTGAATCTGGGTAAAAATAAGGAACACAAAACATGGATTTTAAAACCAATGACAATGCATGTATTAACATAAAAAATTACATTAATGTGTACACAGTTGAAAGGAAAGGAAAAAACATTAAAAACTTAACAATTAAGAATGTATATGTGATACAAGCAAGCATGAAACCCATATGTGTATATGTGAGTTTAGTTGAATGGTGGAACTGAATATGCCTTAGCAGGACGTTCTCAAGTATGATCTGCTACATCTTGAAGAAAGAGGAAGAAGAAGAAAATGTTTGTTTTTTTTCTTATAGACTTAAACAACAATACTTAACAAGCATTTGGTGAAGGCAAGTGGGGTAACCCACACTCTCTTCCTGTCTCTTGCTTTCCAGGCAAATTTGATCTTCAGAAATTTAAATGCAATGTCAATCATTATCTTTTGTCTTAATTCTTATTCTTTTATTGTTCTCTCTCCTTAACAATGTTTTCATTTTCTCCTATTCTTTCACACCCAGTAACCTTTTGCATCTTAGTGGCTTTATTGACTTGCTTGGGCGGAAATGATTAAAAAAAAAAGAAACAAAAAAGAAATTTCTCATTAGTAGTTTTCAAGATGTTAAAAAAGGCTTATGATTATTATCAACTGCTACTCTTCCAGGATCTCAGTAAGGAAAGCCAAATTATTTAGGAAGATAAATCTGAAATTGACCTTGAGACAGATATAAGACTATATCGATGATCAACTTGTTAAAATATTTGTGCATAAGGAGCTAGTGTCTGAATGTGTTTGATTTATAACTAATTGAGTGTATCTAAAATTATTTAGTTATCAATCATTTCCTGCATGCCTTTACTTACTTTTAACAATATGATTGAAATAAGGTGCAGATAATTTGTCACTAATTAGTGTTGCAAGAATGATACCAAAATGTAAACTCGATTTGTTACTTTAGCTGTAAAATGAAACCTTAATTTTTTTAATCAATTAAATAAGTTTCATTTTTTTTTCTTGTGTACAGTGTTAGTAAAACACATGTTAGAAAGTGTTACACAACCAGCCATTTTATTTTTTTTCTTCTCAACAGGTTATGAACGGCAGAAACATCCACTGGTAGATGCTGAGCTTGAAAAAATGTTACTGGATACACATGAAACCTTCAAATGCTACCCAACAGCCATGGATATTACTCTGGGGTGAGAAATATTCTGTGATTTTTATAATTTTATTGAAATAAGAATAGAATCTGATTTACTTATATATTTTGCTTTTGTTGAATTTCCTTAAATTGTTTACCTGTCCATAATCATCAATGCTGAAACCATTTTGTAAAGACAAAAGACATTTAGTCATGTTAGGTTAGACACATGTCTCATCGGTCATGATGGCTTTTCCCAAGCTGGGCTTGAACTTTTTTTAATTGTATTTTAACATGCAAAGACAGTTGTGCATCAGCTGCCAACCAGTGCATGTTGCCTGCCTAGTCATGGCTTGTCTGGCCAAATAGTATGCATTGCCTGCCTGGCTGGCCATTGACTCAATCCCCTTTTCAAAAGCCTGACCAATTTGTGTGATGACTTTTGCTTTTTTTAACAAACAAAATGACTTGTGGACATTCGGCCTGTGAACAAAATGAGAACTGAATCAGTTTCATTTAGTTTTCAAATGTTGTTAATTGTATTTTCTTACACAAAGGCAGCATGCATCGGGCAACTGACCACTGTGCATTACGCAGCTGACTGAACAACTGATCAACCAAAAAACTTTTGCATTGTTTTTTTGTTAAAAGTTAAATTCTTTAAGATGGTTCTTTCTTTTTCAATTAGAATAATTGTAGATTCCCAACTGCAGTTATTACTTTTTTCTTTTAGCAACAAGGTCTTTACTCAGGTTTCAGACAACCTCCTACACTTGGACAAAACTCCCTCAGTTCTGTAAAATTACTTTTTTAAAGTGTACAAATATTGAACAGGAGTAGAGGTTTATTCCTTGTTTCCAGTTTAGGATTGGGTTTCTATTTCCTTCAATTCTCTACTTCTGACATCTCTGTCTGAAATCTGAATTATTGTTTTTTCCTCCCCCAATAGTAGATAGATAGATTTGCCTATTGTCTGGTTCACACTCCTCCCTGATCTTTTGAATAGGGGTAGAGATCCATCCCTTGTGCAAGATTGGGTTTCCAGTTCCTTCTAAAGTCTATTTCAACTCTATACTCCTAAAATCTCTGTCTGAATTTTATGCACTAATTAGATCTTGACTTCTTCAAGCTTAGAATTAGCTGTCTATTTTTCCTGTTATCTTTCCCTTTCTTACACTAATACAACCCCACACAGTAACCCCCTTCCTTGAGTGGCTCTTGGGCCTTGTATTCAGTGAACATTAGTAAAAAAAAAGAAAAAAAAAGACGAAAAATGAGACAAAGTCCGACAATTATTTTAAGACATTTTTATGTTTATACATCCTCTTTTTTTTTTTTTAATAGTTACAAATATTTAAGTAAATGCTCTGTTTATAATAAACAGTATTAAACAACATTTACCGGCCTGAATGTCCGAGAAATTTTCACAGAAAATATTCAGGCCAGTAAATGTTGTTTAATACTGTTTATTATAAACAGAGCATTTACTTAAATATTTGTAACTATAAAAAAAAAAGGATGTATAAACATAAAAATGTCTTAAAATACATATTTATACTTGATCTTTGAATAATAATTTTTAAATAAGAAAGTAATTCTAATATATTTAAAAAAACATAGTCTATTAGGAATTAGAATTAGGACTAATAATTTAAAATTGTAGGAATAGATTTTAGATATTAAAAATACAACGTACTTGTATTCAAACGACCCTTTTGAAAAAAATCTTTCTGTATAAGATTGAAAATTAAATGGCAAAATAAAAATCCCAAATTGAAAAAACCCAGACACTATGTGATAAATGGATGTCATTATGTGTTGAACAGGCACCCCTACCCTAACTTAACCTGATTTTGAAAGTAACTCATATTTCGATACACAGGTTGTCTATGAAAATGAATACCTACAACCCCTTATCAAAATGATTGAATTTCCCATAACCTTAGCAACTAATATCAAACATTCTTGCTCATAAACTCAGTAAATTTCAAAATAAGTTATTTCAAAATTCGCTTGAAAATGAAACATGAAAAATGAAATTGTGTCTGTACCTTTTTATTAATATATAAACTAGTTTATATATTAATGTTAAAGTATTTTTTTTCCATATTTTTAGGGTATTATGGTTGGCTGGGTTTATGGAGTATTTTTTTTTTGCTGTTTGAATATATGTATATAGAGCATACAATATATACTCCCACACACACCCACATATATCTATTTTTAAATAGTGTATATGTAGTAAATCAAATATTTGCTTATATGTTATCATTTACCTAATTTTTTCATTTTTATTTAATGACTAGTAGTTTATTTTTTTGCCTTGGTGCTATATATTGAGGTATTAATTATGGTGGGGTTGGGTTGTTCATTTGTAGTTGTTTGTGTATGTATGTATTTATATGTATATACATATATACAGGATGCAATGGATAAATTGTCATCTGAATTATGCAAAATTGAAAATAACACTGACATCTCATTTTAACAGATATATTTACCAAAATTACACATCTTCAAAGACTAAACAGTAAATTTATTCAATAAAATCTCCATTGGCTTCAACTACAGCTTCTAGAATCTCTTGCAACTCCTCTGGATGGTCTCCTTGTTTAAGTTGGTGAATGCTGATGTAATTCTTGCCTTCAGTTCATCTTTGGTGTTACAAGGAGTTTTGTTTGTCTCTGCTCAACTGCACCCCACACATAAGGTTAAGTTAGAGTTAGGTAGCCAGGTTTAAGGGGTGATGTGGTCACAAAAATTGTCTGACAGCCATGACTAGTTGCCAGATATAGGGTCTTCCAGCAGTTATACTCTTGACCCAGAGCAGCACTAATGTCTCCTAGAACTTGATGTAGGCCTCCATGTTGAGTCTGAGGGAAGATTAATGGAGGCATAACAATTACTGAAATTACTAGTGATCACTCTAAACACCTTTGCTATCACCATTACACTCAACCAACTCCTTCCAAATTCTCTGCACTCTCCTCAGATTGACACCCATCCACTCTGAAAAGTTCGTATTGGAGCTTCCAGCATGAATGCCAAGCAGTACAGCATGCCATTTCCAAATTTCTGGCAGCGTGAATTGCACCATGGTGCTCTTTTTCTCGCAGATGTTGCTCAACTAACCTTATGTACTGTGCAGTTGACAAAATCAAAAACACATATGTGTGAAATTAAAAATATAAAATAGCGACAATTTACCTATCGCATCCTGTAGATGTGTATATTTAATATTTGTTTATTTTTTTAATGTTTATATTATATTTTATTTATTTATTTAAAGTTTATATTATTATTTTTTTTTTTTAATTAGTGCTTAGATATCAAAGTAAGTATTTATTTATGTCTGCATTTACCCATCATTTCAGTTTTCTTGTTTAAGAGTTTATTTTAGTTTTTAAAACTAATTATTGTTAATTTTTCTTTATTTTTTTATAGTTTTTTTACTGCTAATATTGCATGGGGCTGCACATTTCTTATTTGATTTTGGTGGGGATATTGTTTTCTTTTTGGGTCCATATGTATTTTTGATAGGTTTGTATTGTCTGTATTTTTTTGTTTCAAAGGACATTTTGTGGTTATAATATCTTTCTTTTAAGGTTTTTTTTCTGTAGCACCTATATAAATTTTTTCATCTGTGTTAATGTTATTAGTTATGGTAGCTTTGTATAATATGTTATTGGTTAAACATTCATATTTATCATTACTGTAAATGTTATATTTAATGGGTACACACATTTGAGTAGAAATACTTATTTTAAACTGAAATTAATGTTAACTGGTCAAGAGATTAATGAGTCCAACTAAATAAAATGTGCATTCCAACAGTAATCAAACCTGTATTCCTTTTTTTCATCAGGGAAACAACTCTTAATCCAAGTGTGCCTTACCAACTAGGCCATGAAAAACCAACATAATAAAGCAAAGTTCAATTACCTATTGAAAAACTACACCTCTATTGAGAGGCATATTTTCTTTAGTAGGACATAACTCAATTATAACAGCATAAATGGAGAGCGATGGAACCAGCTACCCAAGGGATTGTTTGCAAGCCATATATTTAATAAAAAGAAGATAATTTAACATTAAATAACTGACAGAGTTGATATACCATTAACATTTAGCATTCTGCATCATTTATAAATATTACTTCCCATTTTACCATATATGGAATCCCCTCAAAATATAGTGTTTTATATATTGGTTCTATATATTTGAAATTGAAGTAGCCTGACTCTCAATTTCAGTCAAGATTATTTTAGGTGTTGCCATAGAAGGATATGACAACACAACCAAGAAATTCAAATTCAGTTTTTATTGGTGCAACTAAGATTTTTCTTGGCGAAAATAGTCCCCTTCAGAATGCTAAAGGTTAAAACAGAACAATCAATCTCTTAAGACATCATTAATTTTATTGCTTAATATAACAATGTTATAACAATGTCTATTCAAAACACATGTAGCCATCAAATATAATGTTCATAATAACAATAATCTCAGATTAGAATATTCCTTAAATGCTTAGAAATGTGTGTGTGAGAGAGTGTTAGTGTAATGGAAGTTATGACTTCAAAGATTTTTTTTAATTGTAACAGTTTCCTTTTGAAAAAACTTTTCAGGAGCCATTGTGCATGCAGTTATGGTCACAGGAATCCAGGAATGGAGGTGTTTTATCAGAAGTCTTTTGAACATAGCTTGGCATTTTCCCCACAAGCAAGCAACATGGTAATAATTATGGAGACTTTGGCACGGAACCATCTCAAAGATGACAAAGACCTTGTTTTGGTCTGACTGCTGTCCTCAATTACTTTCTTTCGCACTGTGTATATTATATATATTATTCCTATTTATTGGACATGGTCAAAATGAAGCAAGGACTGATATTTAATAATTATAGATTTTTATAAATTCCATAGTTTATATGAAAAAAAAGGAAAAATCTCCAGATCTGATCAGTGTTTTGTGACAAATGATTTCATTTTTCCTCATATGAAACATACTTTATTTTTAGAAAGGATTTGAATAATGCATGTATAATCTAGTCAGAAAAGTAAACCAACAAATTTTTGTAAAGCTTTTAAAACATATACTGTTAACTATTATCAAGGTAAGTAAATTTTTATTTTAAAAATTGGTATGTATATGTGCATTCAAATATCACTGTCCCACACACAAACTATGACACTGTGGGAACTGTCAAAAAGAGAGAGGGTCTTACTTGTATTATTTCCCAAAGAGAAAACAGCCATGTGATGTCCCCTATGTTTCTTGGTGGGGCTATGTGATTTCCATTTCTTCACCCTACTGCTGCAAGCTTAACATGTCTATCTTCCTTGAGGTTTACTTAGCAACTGGTGTCCATCACCCCATAAGCTGACATCACTCACTAGCTGTCATGCAACCCTCGTGAATTCATCTTACCCAAAGGAAGATAATCACCTTCTGCATTCCTACATCCCTATTTGTCTGAAAAATTTAATTTTTCACATAAAAAGTCAACTTCAAAAATTTTCCTGGAACACCCATTCTGCTGCAGGACAATAAAATAAAAGTGACTTCATATATGTGTGTAGCCATGTTTTTTGGTTGAGGCTAGAGTAGGATTAATCTTGCAAAAAACCAAGGTGGGTCCTGCCTGACAGATGATCTCTTGTCATAATGCTTTGAGGCAAGGTTTTACAAGGCTGGGTGCTCTTCCTGTCACTCAACTCAGACACCTACAGTAGTCCAAGTACACCAAGTGTTTTTATCAAAACCTTGTATCTAGAAAGATTATCATTCAAGGCTCAAGACCCCATTCTAGTCTCACATATATATATGTGTGTGTGTGTGTAAATTATTTTCAAATAGTGTATATGTAAACAAACAAAATTAATAAAAAGACAAGAAGAAAAACTATTTTTGTCCTCTGATGGACTCTATCATATTCCCTTATCACGAGTCCCTTATTTTTTTAGGACAAAACGCATCAGCTAAGAATAGTTTTTCCTCTTGTCTTTTTATTCCTATACATTATAATGTTTGTGTTGGCTGTTGGCTCCTATAAGAAGCTCATGCGCTCTTTAACAGGTCTTGTTTTTTGTCCAGTGGGGTGATATTCCATCCTCCTCAACAACAGAAAAGCTAATGGAGGAATTGGCTTAAATGTCAACCAAGCTCTCCAAATTGGAAAAACCAAAATGTCTCTAGGTAAAGATAATTCACTTTGTCAAAGAATAAATCTTTTAATACAGTCATCATTATATTTTAGTCTGCAGAAATGAAAATGCATTAATGGTTTTCTACCTATCTTTAAAATAGTTAATAAAAATAAAAAAAAAGAATGTGAAATATAGTATGACAAAGTGAAGACATTTTGAAAAAGAAAAACATGGCGCAATTTCTCTTAAGTAGTCAGCATTTTTATCAACCCTTATTTACAAGAGTAAGTCAAAAATTATCTGCACTTTCACACCATAACATATCTTTAGATTTGTCACACTGCTTTCTGCTCATGTGTGTTTATAGTTGATATTATTGTGGTCACATGGTTGAAATTTGAGCTTGATCACATCAGTTTTCTTGCTGCCATTACAGTGTAAACATGGCCGCTCTGCTAGCAGTGTGCACCAAGGAGAAACAAGAAGCAGTGATCCAATTTCTCTGGTTGGAAGGTGCATTGGGGCTGAAATTCACCAGAGACTTTTAATACAATACAGTGATTGCACTATGATGTAGAAGTGTATATGAGTTGATTGAGAAATTTAAAAGTGTGACACATGGAGAAGGAGCAGGAGGCCTATCAACCTCCACCACTGAAGAAATGATTAAACAAGCTCAAGAGATGATAATGGTGAACTGGTGAGTTATCATCAAGGTAGCATGATCTCTGCAGATTTGGATTAATGCTCTTGGTTCCTCATTAGTGGATACTGCTAGCAGAGCGGCCATGTTTATTTGTAACAGCAGTAAGAAAACTGGCATGATCAAGCTCAAAGTTAAATTCCATGACTGCAATAGTACCAACTATAATCACACTTGACCAGAAGGCAAGTGTAACAAACCTGAATATATGTTATGGCAAAAGTGCTAATAATTTCTGATTTGCCTTTGTATGGTCATTAATAAATTTGAAGTGTTAAACAATTTTTTTAACAGACAACCTTTACTTTTAGAATCATTTTTATTGGGAATTTCATTTTATTGCTCGAGATTTTAAATTTATTAACAATCCTATTTGATTAAGATTGATTGAAAAGTTGATTGCTTAAGATGATTTCCAACACATTTTACTTTTTCAAAAGTAATTTTCAACATGTATCACTTATGGCCACATCACATTGAAACACAGGTTCCTGTATGATCACTGAAGTTAAGCAACATTGAGCCTGGTTAGTACCTAGATGAATGACCACTTGGTGATACCAGGTAGTGTAATGGATAATGGCTCAGAATTGCTAATTGAAGAAATGAGTTTCAATTCTTGTTGGGTTCATTAAATTCAACTTTGCACAAATACCCTTGGGAAAGTTATGAATCAACCTCTTCTCCTCAATTATGGGTTAATTAGTATGACTTGAATCTCTAAACCATTATCATCTCCAAAAATAAAATAAAATTGCATAGAAGATATTTAGATTTTGGTATTAAATAACCTATACAATTTAAAAATATTTTCTGACTTTAAATAACCTGCAAATGGTTGATAAGTAATAAAAAAAACAAATTAACCAACCAAAAAGCTCTTAATTCCTATTGTACCAACCATTTAGACAAGCTTGTTATGTAGGTTATGCTTCTCTCTGTCTCTCTTGCCTTTAAGGTGCCTCCAAGCCTTCTTTCCTCATCATCTGCTCTAGAAATTTCAATTTTTTTATCTCTTTCTGATTCTGAGTAGTATAAAGGGTTTTTGTCAACCAGCTTCAACGTCACTTTTGTAACATTTCTAATTTATTTCTAAATGTTTATACAGCGGTGTTTTCTTCTTCTATGTGCCATGTTTCTTCCAGACGAGGGTGAATATGGCTCTCCACAACTTCCTGTCCTTTGTACCTCTTAGTAAGGTTCTTTTTTTTTTTTTTTTTTTTTTTTTAAAGCTATCTTTCTTAATCCCTAGACTTACAGCCACATCAGATTGAAACACCTGTTTCCATACAATCACCAAAGTTAAGCAACATTGAGCCTGATCAGTACTTAGATGGGTGACTACTTGGTCATACAAAGTACTGTAAACTTTGATGTGTGGCTGGTGTAATGTATAATGCCTTGGAATTGTCAATTGGAGAGCAGAGTTCCAATTCCCGTTGGGTTTGCTATGTTCACTTATGCACAAATACTCTTGGAAAAGATATGAATCTACCTCTTCTCCCCTCAGCTATGGGTTAATTAGTAAGACTTGTACTGCTAAAAACTAAAACTATTATTATCATCTCAAAAAAATAAAATAAAATTCCATACAAAATATTTACATTTCGGCATTAAGTGAAAGAGATTGATATGCTGCTAAACAAAATCAATTGATGATGAAATCTTACTCTGTAACCCTCTACCTCAAGTGGCTCTTGGGCCTTGTACAGGGTGACTATTTAAAATAAAAATCTACCAGGTAGATAAACTACATCCAACAGCAAGGCATTTGATTGGGAGATTGGAGGTTTTGAGGAGCGTAGAACCACCTCTTAACTGCTATTGTCCCCAAGTCCACCCTAACCCAGGGTGGTAACACCTGTTAGGGTCCCAGTTATGGGCAAATAGTGAATCCCCAAACAAGAAGAAAATGCTATGAAAATATAAAAATACCAGCAATACATTTTATAGCAAAATGACCAACAATGAAGGCCACACCTATAGGCCTTGCCAACAATACATTTTATCTGTAGTTGAAGCCATAAGATTGCATACAAAATATTTAGATTTCAGCATTAAATAATTGGTAGAGGCTGATATGGTGCTAAACAAAACCAACCAAATCAATCGATCAATATGTCTGCTCTTGTTCATGCTATACTTAAGTTTTGTACAATTAAGGAAATGGAAAATTTTCAAAGACAAACTGGTATAAAATAATAACTGTACCTTTTAAATTATAAACAAGGCAAACATTTGCTGATTATTTTTCAATCTAAGAGTATTTAATTATTATTCAATTTATTAGCATCAACTTGATAGGGGAAAGATTTTTTGAGATGAGTAATTATTATTATAATTATTATGTCTTCCTATTCAAACCTGCCTGACATCTTGTTTGTCATAATCACGTTTTGACCATTGGACCTTTCAGCCTTATTCAGGCATCTGTCATTTTACTTACACAGAATTTTGAACTGGACCCTTTATTCAATCCATTGGAGTATACATAATAAACAAATACATAATAAACAAATTCAAAAACATCAGCTCTGTATTCTGTATATTACTTTGGCTGGTATGCTGTAAATCATTACAAGTGAAATTTCATTTTTCACTTTTATTTATTTTGATTCATTTTGGAAATAGAGAAAGTAATCACAATCAAAGTTTTCATGCAATGTATGACTGGTTGTATTTGTTTTTTTTTTTATATGAGTTTTTATAGGTGATTGTAAATCTCTCCCTCCTTAATTAAACAGCTTTTTTTTTTAGTTTTTATAGGGTTAATCTCCCCAAGTTAAACAAGTGAGGTTTTTTTTTTTTTTAATTCACCCCCAACAAGCCAACAGTACCGCTAAGATGCAACGGGCTACCTGGAGTGAAAATGAATGAAAAATTTTTACAAGGAACATAAAACAAGGAACAAGTGATAAACCTCTTCTCCTGTTCAAAAGTCCAGAGTGGAATTGTTACATTAGAAATGGTTATACAAAAATAGTTGTTTGTTCAACATATTCTGTAAATCTGTGCAAGTTTCTTTTTCAATTTTATCAAAGAGGACAAATAAGAGTGTGATTTTATTTGTCCTTGCAAATGCTGGGAAGATAAATGCTTTCTCTTAATTGAATCATCTTTATCAACATAAATAATATTTGTCTGTTGGTTATGCCTTCAGTTTAAAACTCTTTTCCTATTTCCACCCGACCTTACAAATTTTACAATAACTCTATGATACCAACTGCAGTCATCCTCTATTCTAATTGTGATTCATTACACCTTCTCAGGCTAACATTTTATGCTGGCATGAAGTGGAAAGCTTATCTTGAACCAATTTCTAGGTCTGCTGCTAGGAAAGTTGATTCACTGAGTCAGGCTAGACAATCATTATTTCTTGACTTCTTAATTTCTGTGCTTTTTACTTTTCTCTCATTAATAATGTTTTTCTTTTTCTCACATTCTTTCATGTTTTCAACTATACCTGACGAACAATAAAACTTTGTCTATACTATACTTTTGAAAAATTTTTCTTCAACCATACCTAACAAACTATTAAATTTTCCTTCAACCATATCTGAAGAATTATAAAACTTACTCTCATTTATACTTGACCAACTATAAAATATGTCTGTCTATATTTCTGAGATGAGGTATTATGTACATTATTCGGACTATTGTCCTTATATTTGTCGCCATATTTATCACAACATTTTGGCTGTTGTACACTCCGGCCTTCTTCAGGTGGTTGGAATCTCAAACTGAACCCTTTATTTCGCTCACTGGGGTAGACTGTTCTAGTTCCACGTGCCATGTTTAATGGATGTCAGTTATCAGTTATCTCCTCTTAATTTCCCTCTGAAAGTTCTCCACTGCCTTAACCGGGTATTGAAATCACACTCTTTGGGTCCTGTCACTGGATCTAACCAACGCCTTTATCCACTGTGCCATGTGTCCTTGATAAAGGGTTCAGTTCGACATTCCAACCACCTGAAGAAGGCCAGAGCGTACAATGGTCGAAACGTTGTGATAAATATGGTGAGAAAGATGAGGACAATAGTCCGAATAATGTAAATAATGTATAAAATATGTTTACAGGACAATCAATTTGGCTCTAAATGACTGACAAGAGGTTGAGGGGCTGTTAAACACAATCAATCAATCAATCAATCATATTCACTCATGCTCAGTCACCGCCTTACTTGGAGTGAAATGATTTAAAAAAAAAAACTAAGCTTGAATATTAATCTTTGGCCCTAGTGGGAAATTGTCATATAGGACATAAATGTATGGAATTGTCCATTTATGTAAATAAGCAGAGTTGAGGAGAGTTAGCATTAGGTCAATTGATAAGTGTACCTTCATGTAGTAAACCTTCTGTTTCATTACTTACCTTTTGTCTTATTTATTTTCCTGTTATCTCAAAAACATGAGATACAACAGAAATGTGAAAGTATCTAATCAATCAAAGATATTTATCCAGTGTTAACCTGCCTTCAATACAAAGTACTTGAATTACCTGTTAGCGGTGTTGGTTTGACGTCATGCAAGGAGGATTGGCCCTTGATTCTCTCATATGGACCATGAATAATATTTTTTATGATAATCTCACAAAGTTCATGCTTGATTTTCTCACAGGGATTTTTGTACACATGACTTGATCAACATAATCTGCTCCTTGTGAGTTTTTAAAAAAATCATTTCAATCCCAAGCAAGGTGGAAATACCACTAGTATACAAGGGATTACATACAGGGAGTGAAAGTGGGAGAAAAGATTGAGTATAGGGAGGATTGAGGAAAGAACAAAAGATGAACAGGATTCATGAATATATATATATTGATGTTGCAATTACATTTTGGAATATTGTAGTTATCAGGGAAGCAAGTAAATGGAAAGGAGTTCCACAGGTGGGAAGTGCGAGAAAAGAAACTGTTGGAGCAGAAGTGGTGGTTACATTTAACTATTTCAACAGTAAACAGGTAGGACCTAGGTGCCAATCGAGTAACACGCTTAAAGTAGTTGGGGCAACAGGGGAAAAAGCTCATCAGAGCAGTTACCATGAAAATATTTGTAGAAAAGGTAGGATATCTTGTCTAGTTCTTATTGCTTGCCTTGTTACCTGAATCCAAGTACATACTGCATGTCACTAAATTCATCCCACTGGGCAATTCTGTGTAGATAACTTGGAGCCTTCAACCTAACCTGCCTGCTGATGATAATGCTGCTGTCAGTCATGCTGGAATGCACTCATTGTCATAATAATTCTGAGCTTTTAAAATGTAATCAAGTTTAAAACATATTTTATACTGAAAATTATATTTAAATAAGAAATACTAATTAAATAAACTCAATTTTATTTCTAACTAGCAGCATGGCCCGGCGTTGCCCATGCTTGATTCAAAAATCGTACAACTTGTACAGCAATCGCTATCACTTGACTTAAAATATTTTTGCCCTTCCTTGTCTTTAAAGAAGTGCCCTTTGCCGTGCTAATGTTGCTACATGTCTTACTTCTTGCCTATCTCATACTGCGAATTTTTTCTAAGCTCTATACTAAACATTAAATCTGTTACAGAAAAAGAACTAAACAAAATGAACACAAAACGATCAGCTTTAAAAAAGGACTCATAACTGGAAAAACCAAATGAAAAAAGAATGTTAACAACAAATACTTTTTCACACCCAACCCAGTTCTGCGGAATCAGAATCAACGTTGAGTTTAAGCAAGCGAATGAGCCAATTGGAGTAAAGTGCCATGCAGATTTAAATTTTTCCCACTTGTGACGAATGCAGCTATCGATTTTTTTGCATGCTAGTTAACATTCGTGTCAGTCAGCTGTTGGCTCTCACTCTGGCCAGTACAAAATGGCTGCAAACTACATGAAAACTGCGATAGAAGCATGAAAATATCGATTATTTTCACTATCAATGGGAGTCGAGAAATGCAAAGTTGGTCTTGGCCTTCCCGCTACCTTAGAGCATGCGCATGTAAATTTTGGTGCAAATCCGTCGAAAATTGCGGCTGTGCATTCGTTACACACACACACATCCTGCCTTTTATAGACAGAGATGTTTATTTTTAAGACATCAGAAGACAAGGGCCTGCCTAAGACTGGTGCAAAATGCCAAATTACAGTAAATTACAGGTACACGATATCAAAATTATGAATATAAAGGAAGTTTTTATTTTTATACATATCACCACCTTTTAAAAGAATATCTTGTATTACATACAATATGAGCATGTGTTTATATTTGCAATCTAAGGGGGATAACTACGCTCATTTTAACACAAATGGATGGCAGAACAGGGTTTGAGAGAAGAGACAAAATTTATTAAGAGCTACAAAGTACAAGAAGTTGTGGAGAGCCATGATCACCTA